CGCGCACACGAACACGAACACGAACACGAACACGCAATCACACAACCACACAACCCACAAACGCACCCATTCACCTGCCCGCCCACTCACACGCACGCACCCACCCACACACTCACCCACCACCCACCCACCCACCCACCTACCCACCCACCCACCCACCCACCCACGCACCCACGCACCCGAGGTCACCGCAGGCGTGCGCGCACACACATGCAGACACTTAACCGTACAAAGCTCACAGATACACAGCACAGGCACGCAGCACAGGCACACAGCACAGGCACACAGCACAGGCACACAGCACAGGCACACAGCACAGGCACACAGAGACACAACCACCATACATACATACTAACACATGGGCAGATGCAGGGAGACGAGACTACACAGACATGCAAACACACACCGCGGTGGAGCAGCAATCGTGGCAGCATACGCGCAGATGTTGTGCGGCGGCTGTCCAAGTTTTAAGGATGGACTAGACCCCTGCAGATCAGCGAAACCTTCCAAACGTTTGTCTTTGGATTTCATGTCTGCAGAGGTCCGCCTGAAGGAGTTGCGTGGTCACTTGGAATGCCTTTCTTTTTGGAGGCACGGCTGCGAGAAGCGAGAACTCGGCGGGTTCCAGGCAAAGACGCCCGAAGAATCAACCTGCGACCTTCAGGGGGAAAACGAAAGGGGGGGCACTGGAAGTGCAGGGCGTTTGATCTCCTTGAAGCCCCGCATTATGTTCCGCTTGTTTGGCCGTGCGTGCGAAATTGGTAGCCAAGCATCTCGGCCATCGCTTGGACCTTCCATCAGCACAGAGCAGGCGAAGCTTGCCATGCATTGGACTTGTGTGGCAGATGTTGCCCGTTCGCGCCCCAACCTCACTTCCGCGACTCTCGCGCGACATTTATCAAGTGGACCTCCCCAATCATGGAAGCGCACAGGTCCTTTTCAATCGCAGTTTGTCTTGTGGCACCTGTGGGTTTGTGCGATATTGTCCTGTCAGGAAGATGAGGGGATGAGAGGCGCTTAGCCATTTCTTTGTGTGAAGTTCCCGTCCCGTGGGCTTCCCTTGCTCATTTAAGTCAACGAACGAAAAGAGGGTGTTCCTTTCAAAGTTTCAGCCCAGGTTTTGCTTCGTTCCCACGGGAAAAGATGTAGGTTGAGAGACCAGGTCACTCGAAGGGTCTGCGGGTGAACAGTCTGCTTGGTCGGCGCGTACTGAGACGCCCACAGCCATCGCAAATTGCCGTTTGCGCATCTGTGCTGTCGGCAAGGGGCGACCAAGTCGGTGGCGCCACCGGGCAAATCAACGCGACTTCACGTTCCCGAGGTGGGGGAGGGGGGCGGCGTCGCATGGCGTCGCCCCACGGTGCAGGTTCAATTCATCCGAAAAGTGGAATTGGGGGAACCCCCTCCTGCCTTTAGCGGGAGTTTGCTTCTGAGCAACGCGAACGAGAAGTTTTCACGCCAAGGTATCCGGGACCCCTTTTTGCCCCCTGCCCGGTCCAGTGTTGCACAACCCCCGGGGTGTGCTCCCCATCGAATTCATCGCACGTTCTAAGGCACCACCCCCCGGAACCCAAGGGCAGGTCCAAGTATCTACCCTGCATTGCACTTGGGGGTCCTTTGAGGGTGGGAAGCACCTTAGAGACGTGCGTAGGAAGCAAGAGCTTTTGCAGAAGCAGCTGAATTCTTGTTTCAGATCAACTTTCGAAAGAGTTGGATTGACAAGCTGGGGCACAGAACGGCACAGCCCGTAATGGCCAGCTTGTCATAGATACCAGCAGTGAACTCTATCGCGAGAAAGATCTCCTGGCACTGTTTGCGAGGGTGGGGAGAACAGAGCGCAGGGCGAAGGTCAGCAACAGGCAGAAACCAATCACGTCCCCACCTCCAGTGTCCCCTTTCTTTGTGCCACGGGCACGGTGGGTTTCCAAGGGTCTGGGATCCAACGCAGCGCCTCCTGTCGTTTCCGCGGGCTGAGGTGCGGGACAAGGGCTTCGACACCTGCGATCTCAGGCACCTCCGGAAGCTGAAGTACTTCTTTCAGGCGGGGTGGGCCGTGAAAATTACCAGTACTCACTTCCTCTTTTCATGAACCTGAAGCTTTTTGGGAAGACCACTTTAGCGGAAAATATAAAGTCTGAACGTTTTTTTGGGCGATCCGCTCAGCAAGTGGGATTATGGGTCGTTTGGGTGGGACCGCCTCGCCCCAAAGTTTGTGTTCAAAATGTTGGGTTTGTGCATGATGTAAAGGGCCCTAACGCCCTGCAAAAGGTGGTCGACCTCCTTCTTGGTGAATCAGGAGGGCTCGGAGCAACCTTTTCTGGGTTTTGAGCAAACTCTGCTTCGTAAATGAGCCGAAAAGCCACGAAGGTCTTTGGCTCCTGATCGCATGGCAAGAATTGTCAGATATCATGGATGGACAACATCCCAATACCATTGAAGTTCTGTGATGAGGGTGCCGCCACTCTAGTTCCTGGACTTAAGTTGAGGCTTGTTGGGACCAACTCAGAGGTGAACAGAAATGTTCTTGATGCTGACGTTTTACCTCGCACCAATGGACGAAGCACGAGGATTACTTGAATGCATCAGCTGTCATTTGGTGCGGGATTTTGTCCGCTCCCAGTGTTGCGTTTTAGGCTCGCGCTAGTGGTTGAACCAGGCCCTTAAAGAATACTGGCTGGGGCCACCCCCCTGCTACCAGTCAGAGGACCCCCCGCAATAGATGTCAGTTCCTCGTACAGTCCATAAAAATATACCTGGACCTTCCAACATGTAAAATTAACGCCGTTTCCCAAAACAGCAATAATTTTCGCCGGTTACTGAAAAAAACGCTCTTTCAAAAAAAAAGCGCTCGCCGTGAGTCCAGCTCGGAACCAGGCAAGAAAAAAAACGCCGTTTCGCCGGCAAATTACGCCGTTTTGACGGCAAATTACGCCGTTTTGCAATTTTGATTGATGCTAGAGTGTGCAAACACTGAAAACTGCCGGCAGGCGAAAATAATCGCCGTTGGGTCAAAAACATAGTGTTTGACAAAACAGCAATAATTTTGCACATGTTGGAAGACCCAGGTATATGGGTTTGTCTTTTTTTGGTGTGTTGAGTTGCTTCAAAAGGCAGAAGGTGGGACCTCCCCGAATCATACCCCCGAATCATTCCCCCGAACCATACCCCGAATCATACCCCCGAATTTTTATATTTTTTTTTAAAACGTATGCTGCAAGATGCTAATGTTCTTCTACCGTTTTGTGTTGTTCACTGTCTCCACAACAACCACCACCAGCGCTACCCAATACTACCACTACCACTGCCATTGCCACTACTACTACTGCTACTACTACTACTACTACTCCTCCTCCAACTACTACTACTGCTACTACCACTACTACTACTACTACTGCTACTACCGCGACTACGAGTATTACTACCAATACCACCGCTACCACCGCTGCCACTAATACTCTACTGCTTCTACTTCTGCTACCCTTACTACTAACTACTACGACTACAACCTTGACTACTACTACTACTACGACTACTACCTTTATTACTACTACTACTACTACTACTACTACGACTACAACCTTGACTACTACTACTACTACTACTACTACTACTACTACTACTACTACTACTACTACTACTACTACTACTACTTACTACGACTACTACCTTTATTACTACTACTACTACTACTACTACTACTACTACTACGACTACAACCTTCACTACTACTACTACTACTACTGCTACTGCTGCTGCTACTACTACTACTTCTACTACTACTATTCCTGCTTCTGCTGCTGCTGCTACTGCTCACTACTACCACATACATCATTCTGAGTCTGTAATCAGTGCAGTTTTGCACCTAGCCGAATCATACGCGCGAATCATACCCGAATCATACCCGGACAATGAGCTTCCCCTGCCAAGGCTAGTGCTAAGTCTTTTTCACAGCGTCCGCACCACTACAGCCGCTGCTGCTTATGCTACAGCTGCTACCACTACTTCTGCAACTGCTACTACTACTACTACTACTACCACTACTACTGCTACTACTACTACTACAACCACAGCTACTACGAGTTTGTAATCAGTGCCGTTTTGCACCTAGCCGAATCATACCCGCGAATCATACCCGAATCATACCCGCGCAATGAACTTGCCTTGCCAAGGCCAGCGCCAAGTCTTTTCCTCGCTTCCGCGCCAGTACAGTCGCTGCTTCTACTCTTACTACTACTACTGCTACGACTACTAATACTACTACTACTACTACTACTACTACTACTACTACTACTACTACTACTACTACTACTACTACTACTAGGACTACTGCTACTACTATTTACTACTACTCCTTCTACTGCTACTACTACTACTGCAACAACTACTACTGCTGTTACTACCACAATATTACTTCTACTACTACTACTACTACTACTACTATTGTTACTACCACAATATTACTACTAGTACTACTACTTCGGCGACTACTGCTACTACTACTGCTGCTACTGCTGCTTCCGCGAATCATACCCCCGAATCATACCCCGAATCATACCCGCGAATCATACCTGCGAATCATACCCCGTACTCAAACCTTCCTGCCCGGCCACCCTAAAAAATACAAACCCATATATATATATTCTAAAAGGGGAACCACCCCTACCTTTGAAATCCAAAGTTAGCGTTCGATGCGGAGATCAAACTGGTGTGACGGTGGACTTTGGGTTGTTTGAGGGAGTCAACACGTGATTGAAACAAATCCCAGAAGGAAACACACAGTTCTTTTTTTCAGGGGCCCCTACCCCGTACCTGCGTTTTCCCCAAAATGACATCCAGAATTTGGCCAATACCAGGCAGCCGCTATGAACCGCATGGGCGGGCGGAGTGGAGTGAGCCGGTGGTAGTGGACATGGCCCAACACGTGATTGAAACAAATCCCAGAAGGAAACACACAGTTCTTTTTTTCAGGGGCCCCTACCCCGTACCTGCGTTTTCCCCAAAATGACATCCAGAATTTGGCCAATACCAGGCAGCCGCTATGAACCGCATGGGCATGGCGGAGTGGAGTGAGCCGGTGGTAGTGGACATGGCCCGCACATAGGTGAGGGAGCCCTTCAAAGTTGGGTATCTCTGCCTGCTATCTTTTGCAGTCTTTTGAAGGTCTGTGTGTTGAGCAAAACCACCCCACAGGACCTGGAGAGGATGTGTTTCCCCCGCTTTTGTTCATCAACACCTTGCTTTTTGGGGTTGACTACACATGAAAGAACCAGAACATCTGATTCACTTTCTGCATACATGTGGGCTAGGACTTAGATTCCTTGGAACCCAAGACGGCCTGGAATCGACCCCCGAAGATGGCTGGCCGCAAGGCGGCGTTGGCCAAAACGGCCAGGGGCCGTGGGTGTCCTAAGGTCGGTGTGAAACTCAATCTGGTGGAAAAGTGTGCCCTCCCAGAACCTGACGTCTTTTTTTGGGGGGGTCATGGTTTGGACCATGTTCCGTTTAAAGGGATGGGGCCGAACGTCAGGTTCGGGTATATTGCGCTCAAGCGAGGTCATCCATGATTTCGTTTTTTTTCTTGGGGGCTTCCTGTTTCCTCAGATAGATGGCCATACGAATTTACAAAAACGACCCCCTCAAGCATGTGTCGTGGACACAAAACCGCACATACATGATGCCCACCAAGAGGGGCCCTAGTTAAAAGTTGTCCCCAGAAGGCAGAACATCATTTGGTCACGTTTTGGTCTTTCAAACATGGATGCGCATTTGTTGGTTTCAGCTCGGTTCCCTTTTCACTTGCCAGTTGAGTCCGTTCGCTTTCTGCCCAAGGACACCTAGGGCGGGTCTCACCGCGCTCCTGAAACAAGGGGGGTGCCGTACCTGGATGAAAAGACCAGCAGAAGAGGTGCCATGTGCGATGCGCGATGGTCAGGGCAAGATCGTCATAGGTTGTCCGTTTTTGAGCGTACCCAAAGTGCTTTTGGGGAGCGTACCTGTCATGATTGTTCGAAAAAGGGTAAGAAAAAATAAGTGGCGTCCTCAACAGCAGCGAACCTTATCTGGGCCGAGACCGCATAGCTTCCAGCTGTCCGGGAAAAACACATTGACTTCAAATCCAAGAAACAAGGATTCTCAGGGGATGGTCGCTCAAGTCCTATCAATGTGGCCCGACATGCCACTTGAACATTTGTCTATGGTTAATCGTATTTGTTGGTCTTTGCGGTTCGGGACAAAAATTCAGAGGCGAAGATTCACAGGGGGCATTTGGTAACCGAGGGACTCCTGCTTGGTTGGGTCTTAGACCTGTTTGGGCATGGGGCAAGAACAACGTGTTATTCTCCAGGTTGTTTAAAACACACTACGTGACTTAGTATGTGCTTTGGGGGGCAACAGGGATTCGCAAAAGTTTGACTCGTGGAACTGCGCATAGACGCGATGCGTTCAATTATCTCTGCAGGGTGCGTGGGTTTTGGCCCAGCAAGCTGACCTCTTGGGGGAAGTTTAAAGTCCTTAAAGTAATTAATCGGTGGACCCGCCTTTGAATGGGGTTGGGTACTTACAAATCAATGACAATGATCTTAAGCGAGGAAGGCGTGTAACTAGTACACCTCTCACACTTCGCAGCGCGGGGATTCGAGGCGCCCGGCCCAGTCTTTCGCAGGTTGGCGCCTTCTCGCAAGCCCGCGCGAAGGATGCAGGCGACAGTTGGGCAGCAGTCTGGGGGCCACGAAGCTTGGCCAGTAAAGAAACCACCTGTAGCATTGCAAGCCAGGGGGATTTTACATATTTTTCCTGTGGGTATGGGTCAACATCAAACTAGGTCCACGCGCCATAGATGGCCGTGGGTTTTTGGTCATGCTCGCAGCAGCGAAGCGGTCAAAAACATTGATATTCCTATGGTTTTTCATGCATCGGTGTTGCTTCAATCTCTGTGCTTGCAATTCCAGTGGGAATTAGCAAAACCAGTGCTTCCACCAATAGAATTGCAACTTCAACATGCTTTCACGGAATCCCGCAAACTAACTGCCGATTTCACAAAATGTTGTCGATTCATCAAAATATATCAATTCTGCATACTGATGCGACCACCATCTTGCGACAACCATCTGATGTGTCACCCTGGAGCAGTCCTGGCAACACGTTTTCTTCCACTGGCTGACTGCATCCGTCCGGCGGAGTCCGGGACGGCAGGCAAGGCTCCCGAGAATGTGCTGGCGGCGGAGTCCGGGACCGCCCGGCGGGGCGAACTGAAGAAGGTCCAGCACATGCGTCGTCAGGTTGAGCGGCCATGGCCGGGCCACGCGCGGGGAGAACGGCTAGCAGCCGGGCACCGAGCAGACGGTTCGAGACAACGTGGAGGCAGAACGCCAGCGAGACTAAGCGAGAGGGCGGAAAACACGCAGAACGCCTCAAAACGGAGCAATAAGCAGACCAAAGCACAGGCAAGCAAAGGCCAAGAGAGTCAAAGGCCAGTGGAAGCCGATGAGGCAGCAAGACTATCTCCGCCACGAGCGACAAACACGGCGGGGTTTGCGTCACTACGTCAAAGAGAGAGTCCAGGTATTCAGGGCACACAGCAAGCAAAAACAGGATCCAGGATTGGGTGGCAGCGGAAAAGAGGGAGACCTAAGGCAAGACGAGCATCCTCGGAAAGGTACATTTGAACCAAAAACATGAACGCTGTGGACGAGTCCGAGATCACCCCCCCCCCCCCACCCCATACCCCCCCCCCCGCCGGCTGAAAAATCAACGAAAACACACGGCCGTCTATGGCGCGTGGTCCAACTACCGGACCGATGGCTATGGACAACTTGTGTCTACGCCCGTTTGCTACAAAGTAGTATGGCCTTCACTGGGGTAATGATCCTTAGCAAAATGTCCCAGTTGGTCAGTGGCACCCCCGAGATATCGCTAGATCCGTTTCTGTTTGGTGGCTTCCAGCGAAAATGGTCAACCCCAAGGGTTCCAATCCTTGTGGAACTGTCACTTAAAAAATGAGCAGGGAATGAGAAATTTAATGACCCCTGCAAACTTCCATTTGCTTGAGAATATCATTTCCCTGTTGGTTGCAAGCGGAATCTATCACTATTGGAAATATATAGTTTTCCTTTCAGGGGGCGAACAAGCAACTGGAGGTAAACAAAATCCAACTGGATTACTTGATTCGTGAATCCCCACCTGCGTTTCATTCCATTTCTCATATCGCAGGCCGCACACCGGAGAGTGCCGAGGCGACGGGGGTGGTCGACCAATTCTTGGTCGAGAGTGGTGCCCCACATATTGGTGGTTTGGATTGGTGGGTTTTTGGGGGTTTGAACTCCTGGACTCTTGGTTCTCGCGCAGGATTGGTGGTTTGGATTCGGATCGGAACTCCTGGTTCTTGTGGACGGTAAATGAGAAACGTCTCCACCAGCAAGCCACCAATCCAAACTAAAATTAGAGGGAAGCTCATTAACGCATACGTTTTGGCCAAATTGAGAGCCACGTTGCCAGCTGCTTCAAAGGCTGTCCACACGTACCAAGTGATTTGGAGGTGTGACTCTCTAAGGGGCTCCGCTCAGCCACAATCAAAACCCAGGCAAGAGAAGGCTGATTAGGCACAGTTCCAACCACCAGCTGGTCTGTTTGTTTCTTTAGTAGTTTTTTTGGGTCATCTGACTGGGAGCCAAGCAGATGGTTCTGAACAGTGTAAGCAAAAAAACAAAATCATGGACCAGGAAACCAACACCTTCTAGCAGGTTCCTGGGCCGGCAAGTGCAAGACGCTTCCCCGGGATGGAACTTGAGAGGTAGAAGCTTCTAATTGGAGCCCCCTAACTAGAGTGCTTTAATTGCCCCAAGATGAGTGCCAATACGTGATGGGTTGATGCCACAAATGGGTGGCTTAAGAGGCCGTTAACTTTAAGAGGCAACATGAGTGGATTGATGCTTAATGCGGGGGGCATGATGCCAGCAAATGGGCGAGTTAATCCTGAGCATGAGTGGCTTGTTTCATTCCGCAGATGGGTGGTTCACAAGTTGGATGGTTGAAGAAGCAGCATGACTGGGTTTGATTCCAACTGAGTGGTTTGATGCCAGCAATGGAGGGTTTAAGAAGCAGGACAACAGGCAGGCGTGGTGTGCACCAATTGGATGGTTTAAGAAGCAGCATGAGTGGCACAATGCCAATCATTGGATAGTTGGATACCAAGCATGAATGGAAACAGGAGAGATTGCCATCCTGTTGAAAAAGCCTCTTCACTCCATGATTGGGCGAGGGGTATCTTCCCTTCGACTATCCTTCAAGAGGAAATTGATCTTCTAGGTACCCTTCCACAGTTGCTATCTTAGTGGGAGGGATCGCCCCAACTTTGTTCGGAGCCCCATGAGCTCCGGAACTCCTGGTCTCGCAACTCTCAAAAGTCGCCGGTCTCCCGGTCTCGCACGTCTCGCCAGGACCTCCGCGAAAAGGGCAACAAGTTCTTCCGCCTTGCGGCACGCATTTGGAGAGACCGCCCGGGCGGTCGGTGTTCCGGGGTTGGTTTGAAGGGAAGCAAGGGACACCCTCCTACTGAAACAACTTTCGTCGCGACCGCGGAAACAATGAACACCTTGGTGTGATAGCTTCGGTTTTTCTGGCACCAAGCCGCTCACTAGACGGAGGCTGTCGAGTGGTTTAAGCAGTGCTTGCTGTTGCTGAAGGGGTTTTATTTATGTTTCAGCTGGTGCCTGGTTTTGGCGCGTTGCCCCAAACCACCAAACCAGCAAACATACAGATCCTTTTTCAAACTAAAAAACGGTCCCTTTGTTTGGGAAAGCCAGGCTAAGACTTGTTGATTTCGCTCAGGGAATGAGTTGACTCAAAAGGGGGGAGGCCTCGGAGTAGTTGGGTTGGGAGCCCTTTTTTTGCGAGAAGCCCTAGCACGCAACCAATGACCCGAAATGTAGCAGAAGAATGGAGGTTGCCACAAGCATAAACAAAAGACAATTGTTGGAAATCATGACTTTAGGTTGCAACTGTCCTGTGATGCCAAGAAACACCCAAGGTGGTAAAATAGTCGGGGATGGGTATCTTTTTACATATTTTTCGAGCGGGCATCACAAGGAAATGGTCGTCCGCAAGGAGCAGACGCCAACAAAAGCCGCAGAAAGGCAGATGGTTTCCCACCGCCGCGCCCAACAAAGAATCGTCGGGCGTTGGTTTTCCTTTGGCGCTGAGGAGAGGGCCAGCACTCCAAGGCGGTGCGCGCCTATGACGAGGCCGTCGCCGAGTAGCTCAGGTGGATTCGAAGCCGAGCCTTTGAAGGGGACCAGAGCGGGGTGCCCCCCTTTAACATGTTTAGCTTTCCAACTGTTTGGTCCACTTGTTTAGAGGTTCCTTTCAAGGGTTACCCGTTTTGTTTCGTTTTTTGAGTCCTTTGGGCAAGGTCGAACACGACATACTCCCCGAGTTCATGGGCGTGATACTTTCCAAGACGCTGTGGAATGCCCCTGGACTGATCACAGGCCAACCATTCGCAAAAGAGTCCACGCCTTCTTCCCTGTCTTGCAGGCATCAAGCCCTGCCCGCCAAACGAGTCCGAAGGACAAGCCAGACAGTGTGGGCACATTCGAAAAGTAGCGCGTAGGACCGTAGGAGGTGCCACGTGACAACCTCGTGACCAGCGTTTTCTTTTGGTTCTGCGGGGCTGCCCCCTGTAGTGAAGCCAAAAGGGAACACCCGATATTGCTAAGGTTGAGGGGTTGTGGAAGCCCACGTTCCAGAAGCCACCCTCTCATGGTTTAGCTGATCCGTGCCTTGTGCGAATCACAATTCCCCCATTTGGTATGGATGTTTTGGATGGGATCGAATCTCCACACCTCAAGTAGGTCCAAGGGTCCAGGCCCTTTTTCAGGAAGGCGGTACATGGCATGGGGAGGAATTCATTGTCACTTCCCGAGTTCTGGGCTTTTTTGCTTTTTTTTTGACTTTTGTGGCAAGCAAAAAGTTCAGACTTGTTCTGCAGATCCGCTCAGGCAGTGAGTGCTTGTCCGAGGTGGGGTCGGTTGATCTGTCTCAGGTATACCACCCGCAATGCGTTCCGAGACTGAGACTCTTAGACTCCGTTCTTGATTGAAAGGTCACGAACCCAACAAAGAAGCTTGACTGCTACTGGGTTGGATCTTTAGACTTTAGCTTTTTGGGAGATCAAGTTGGGTTTTCCACTAACCCCAAAAAGTTAATTTTTTTGCAGGGGGGTTGTTGCAGCAACCAATGAAGCCGCAAGCCGGGCCGATCACGTCCTGCTCATCCCCCATTCGCCTCGCCTCGCAGGCCATCCGGGCAGATCCGCAAGATGCGCGCTGCAGGGGCCTTTGGAACCGGCGAGGCATGTAACACAGACTTCAGGTGGGAACCGGGCATGAATAAGCCCGGGGTGGTCCCTCCAACAGTGATGCAAAGGGGACTCGAACCGTCACTTCCTAAAAGCCTAAACGCTAACTCCCTCCATCAACCCTCAACCCTAGAACCCCTCATGCTCCACTTCCAAACTCAAAGCCCTGACTGAACTCTCGAAACTGTCACTTCCTAAGCCCTAACCTCAACCCTAAACACTAAAAGCCTGAACACCCGAAACCCCACACCCGGGAAAATGATCCTTAACCCTGAAAACTAAATCCAAAAACGATGAACACCTTGAGCCCCTTTAACCAAAAAGAGAAGAAGCTAGATCCCATAAACCCCAGCCTAAATGCTCAGTCCCCCAGCCCGTGACAGGAGGAAACCCCTGAGATGACATATGAAAATTGACAGGGCTCCCTATACTTTCCTTTAAACACAACCCCACCAAAAAGACCCTTGTGTAAAACTGGCCCAAACGGCGATGTAGAAATTGGCTGAACAAGGGAAATGTAGGGAGTTCAGTCAGGGCGTTGAGTTTTGAAGTGGAGGTTGAGGGGTTCTAGGATTGAGGGTTGAGGGGTTGAGGGAAGGGACTTCGGGCTTAGTAGTATGTACAGAGTTGCCATGGTGATTTCTCTCGTGTTCAGTGTGGGTATGTCTCAAAATAAGTTCCAAAACAAGTAATTTCTGTTGTTCCCCTTTAAACAACCATAAATCGAGTACCTCAAGCAAAAACAAACCCTGATTCCAATGGGCTTGACCCCAAGCTGGAAGCCCATTCCCACTTGACTTGGGGTAGGGCCGGTCATGGGTTTTTGCAATGAGGAATGCAGACACCTAGGGGGAAACCATGACACATCAGGCAATGCCAGGATAAATTTGACCATGGGCATGGATGGGCATAACTTATGGCGAGCTCACCTGGGGGTCTAACAAGCTCACCACGAAAAAGGTCTTTTACTTTGAGATCCCTTGAATCGGCTTTTGGAATGCATATTGCTAAGGCAACTTAGGCTTGAGTTGCTGGCGGTTCTTAAAAGATTCGAGCTGTGTGACGCCATGCCCTGCCCTGCCCATGCGAACAGACCAGCGCGTCCCTTGCTGCACCTGAGGCTGGGCCAATCGAGCTGCAGCTCCTCAGATGAAATGGCTTGGGAAAGGCACAGTTGCCTGAAGGATGCATGTTGGCCATGTTGAAAATCAGACAAGCTATTTTGGAGGACCCGTTTGGTTTCACATGTGACAATGTGGGAGGTCACTGGGACGCCTTTTGCATGGCAACTTCGCTATTGATTCGCGGGTTTGCGACCAAGATCATTCGTCGACGTAAGGCAACTTTTTCATGGGGTGGTGGGCCCCTCAAAAGTAAAGCTTTCTCGGAGGTTTGATTTTGTCCGCGGACAGACGGGGATCCAGAAGTGGGGGCTTGGGCTGGCGCAGCTCCAAGATGTTATTTAGCTACCATGCTGTTCTTTTGGTTATTAAAACCTACGGGTGCTTGTACATATCCGTTTTACATATTGGGCACAAAGGCTTGCTAGTGTTCCCAAGTATGTACTGCTACCGGTAGACAATTCCTTGCTGTAGTGAGATGTAGTGATGGTCCACTAGGATTGGATTCGGGATCTCCCCCAATTTGGAGCAACCCGTTCCGTTGTATGGATGTGTGTGGCTGAACTGCTGCAAGAAGCAGGATTGTCCTTCTTGTGGGGACGACTCAGAAAATGGGAATTGGGGGACCCCGTGACCCGTCCTCCTCCTGATGGCCTTTGTGCATCCCCCATGTCCCGGGATGTCCCATATCCCGGGACGAGCTGGCTTGCTGCAAGCAAGCCGGTTGGCGTCGACGGACTCTAGCGAAAAGGGGCATGGACATCCCCACCTCGCGAACTCAGTTGCCAAAAGGTGATCACCTTGTTTTCCCAGGTTCTTTCTGGGCAAGTGAGCCAATGCTGCTGGTCAAATTACGGCCAGCTCACCTTTTTGCTCATCGATTCGGGGTAAACACACAAGCTGATGAAGGTCCTTCCGGTGCCGTACCCTCCGTGTCCTTTGATTCTCTTCAAAAGGGGCCAAGCTGCTGGGAAAAATGGTGGTTTCCAACGAGGACGATGGGTGAAAAGAACTGGTAGAAATGTGGCCGCAAAAAAATCGTCGACCCATGCAACCACAGCCAAGGGGGGCCTCGGATGAACAGGCCCCCTCTGACACACCAGTTCTTAAATCAGGGGACCATTTCTTGATGATGTGGTCGGTTTTGGCGTTTAATTTTGGTGGTTGCAATTCAGGTCTCTGTTCCTGTTGGTTTGAATTGGTGAGGGGAGCTGGGAAACCACCCAATCCAATCCAAACCATGAATCCCAACCATTGAATTAGCGGGAGTCTCAGCAAACACTTGCGACCTGAATAGATTCCAGCGACAGTCATAGGATTCTACTGGAAACTAGCCAAGCACCCTCTAGAAGCCTTGTGTTTGGCTAGTTGTCCTGCAGAGCCTCCTGTAGAATTCGGGTTTGGCTCTATGGAAACCTTCCAGCCGTGCTTTTGTCCCATTCCTTCTCGAGAACGTGCAAATGGGCGGTCTCTCAAGAGAATGGGTGACGAGATGAGGCATCCTTGCTTGATGGTTGTGGCACTCCGGATTCCGGATTAAGGAACCGGTCGCCTAAGAAGAACTCCGACTGACCCAAATCAGCGAGAAACTCTTAGAAACCCTGATGTGCAGCTGACAAAGCCTCAAAAAACCCGAAGAGAAACCTGGAAGCCTTGAAAAACCTGGACAAGGCTCAGATGTCGATGCTCATGGAGTTCGGCCGGGGTCTTTCCCCAGAAGCCTTGCGCTGGGAGGCCTAGCCGTGGCCGTTCGTAGGCCGGGCGGCCGCAAGGGCCGTCATTTGGTTCTTGCAGGGGTCGGCTTTTATCGTGGTTCCCAGTCATACCCTGTAGATTTGTAGAAGGAGGGTTTGAGGGGTTTAATGACAGATCCCACTTTGGCAAAGGATCTGACCAGACAGACACCCCTCCAAATCCAGGCCCTAGAAGTTTATGCCCCCGAAATTCACATGGGCATCTCCAAATTCCCCATGAGCCATTTCAGTAGGGTGTTTGACTATCTGGTTCAATTGGGGCTATAGCAATAGAACATTCACAGACCTGAACCATGTTAGTCAAACCAACAGTCAATGAACCCAACCTGTGAGATTCGAAGCAAAGGGATGGCTGCTAGGGTTGGTTCCTCCACTCAAAGTCCACTCCGTGAGCACCCGCCTTGAGGCACGAACCCGTACTTCACCAACTCCTTGGCGGACCTGACGCAGAGCTTGCAGCTGGACCCAAAGTATGTCAAGGTGGGCGCGCTGGGGCGTGGAACCGGTTCTTTTTGACAGAACCTTCGCTGTTTGTATTTTGGATTTCCTCATTTTGGACTCTTCCTTGAAGCCTTGTTTCCGGCAGGCGGGAATCCAACAATGCAGGCCCTCGAGCGAGCCCTGGTTCCAAGGTCTGAATCCAAACCAAAAAGGCACTGGGGCGCGAGAGTGCGAATGTCAACAAAGATGGGAATTCGAGCTTGTGCGAATGGATGGGGCAAAAACTTGCGACTAGGGTTAGCTACGTGAAAAACTTAGCCACCTTCCGGCCACCTCTAAAGGGGAACCAAAAGGATGGTTTTTAGACACGCATGTCAGCCATGCCCAGTTTCACTCTTTGGATTCGGTGTGAAAATCGCTCAAGCAGGGATCTCCATAATTTATGGCGAGCTCAAGGGGGGTGGGGGTGGGGGGTGGGGGGTAAAACACCATGGTAAAGATCTGTTTTCTTAGGGATTCCGCATTTCAGGTTTGGACGTGTTGAGAAAATGCAGGAGGCAGCTCGCCCATAGGACCAAGTGACAAGAGTGATAAAGGAGGTAAGATGTTGATTCTGATGATTGCATTGGTTAACCTCAGTTGTCAAAAGCCGATCTTTTGACCTGTTTGGTTTTCAACAATTTGGCAGCCATGTTTAGTAAATTGGCCCCAAAAGGTGATCACCTTTTGTTTCCAGGTCCCTAAGGGGCAACTGTGGTAGGGTCCTTGAGCCTTAGGTGCCCCTGATCTCGAGAGAGCCCCAAAAAAACGTAGCGTCTTCAGAGTTTCTTCTGAGGTCTTCCTTGGTGGGCGATCTTTTTTCATTTTCTGTGATGATTTTCCGTGGATCTTTTGCTTCTTGGGTGATGATTCTCTGTGGATGCGTTGCTCTTTGGGTGATGTGTTCCCTTCCCTTCCCCCCCCCCCCAAAAAAAAAAAAAGCAGGGATGCTCCCTGGGATGTTCATGTTCAAATCACCTCCCCACCAACACCTCTCTCCAAAAAGAAGGGTTTCTCCCCCCGGCTTCGGAGGTTTTCCCCCCAAAAAAAAAGAAGAAGCCACGGTTGAACGGAAGGCGTGGGCGCGGAAGGGCCAGCTGCATGCCATGGCCTCGGAGGCCGGGCGTGGCTTGAGCTCCCGGCTGGAGCTTCCCGCGGCTTTTGAAGCCGAGTCGGTGGGATCTTTTTTAAAAGGCGTTGAGGCCGAAGGTCGCCGAAAATGTTCCAATCTGTTGGGAAAGTAGGCCGGATGTATCCTTTAGGTTCAGCTTCCTTTCAAGTGGTTTGGCTTGGTGGTTTTAGGGGCTACCTCCCCATTTGGTTTCAAAAGGAAGGGTTCAAATGCCAAACCACCCATCCAAGCCACCAAGTAAGGGGAAGCTGAGTTTGGGGTTACGCATGGCTCAAGAAGGTCCTCGCCCAAATGAGGTCCCTCCTTGACTCTGCGGGAAGCACAAAAAGGTTAACTCATAATCAGCCGAGTAAGGAATCAATATGGATTTAGTCAAAGCTTTTTTGGGGATTCAAGATGTGATTCTGTAGCTATACGATAATGGTTTGGATTTTGGCCTGACTCGTTTTTGTGATAGGGGTGGATCTATTAGGGGGAAGCGATTAGAAAAGGTTATTGAAGACCTTTTGCTCCGTTCGGGGGGAGGGAGCAACCCAGGGTTCTGGAGTTCAGGGATAGCAGGTGGTCAGCCTTAGACCTGCAGAGTTTAGAGAGGTTCATGACACACGGTTTAGAAAAGGCCCCTTAAGATCCCCCCTATCAACCAGAGTTTGCTACTTTGGGGTCGGCATCGGGACACTTCGGCGCCAAGAACAAGCCGGAACCCCAATCCGATCTGATTCACATTGCCAGACACAACCTGCAGTATTGCACTCGGCCCTCTTGGGGGTAACCTTGAACATTTCCCTTTTTACTTATTTATCCTACTTGACAACCCACGTCTCAACTATGTTTGCAGGAAATATTCTCAAGAGAAGCGATGAAAACAAGGACGGCCTTCGCGAAATGAGGGGGGGGGAAGTAGGTGGGATATTTGCAACTCGTGTTGGTTTAGTGATCTTTGCTCAAGTTGCCAAAGAATGGGCCATCTACTGCCACCCCGCAGACAGCCACAAATATATTCACCGGAAATCAGGGAATTTACGACATGTTTTTCAACTACTGCAGTTTTGCTTTATTTATTTTAGGGTAGACGAAAAAAATGTCTGTCACCGCACATCGGCGGTACCCCTGGCGCGATCGCCAGCTCCCGGCCGCCCTGGCGGCCTACGACCGCGGCCTGGCGCTGGACCCCGCCCGCCGGGGCGCTCCACGGCGCGCGTTTGGGGCGCGCGGCTGGCGGGTGGTTTCGAGCGACGGCCCTTTTGAGGTCACCTGGACTTGTTGGCGCCTTGTTATCTCACCCAGGCAGTGGATACACTTGAGACTTTTTTCCTTTCTTGGCTCTCCCTTCATTTTGGTGGTGGGCCAAAAAGTGTATACTTTTTTTGGGCTGGTCACTGGCCAAGTGAGTTTTTGGGAGATGGACAATGTGTCCTCTTTTGCCAGAGGAATAGGACGACTTAGGCCAGTTGGTTGGGCTTGGAGCTTACGAAGCAGGGCTGGTTCTCCTTCCTTCCATTGTCCTCATTGGTGGTTTTGACTGGCTGGTTCTTGACGGGAAAATGGCAGGATATCGATTTGAATCGAGAGCGGTGCTGGTGGCCAAGAGCAGTAACCCCGCGTGAGGCAAGCAAATTTGAGTAACTGACAGTCATGGCTTGGTTGCTCTTTGTCGCCCAAGCGTTTGGAACATTGCTTAGCAAGTTGAACCTTTTGGTCGAAGACTGGCGCGCATATTGGTATCGGATTCGTTTGGGGAGAGGCCAGTGAGGGTAACTGGTGTCAATGGGATTGCGCGCAGCCAACTTACCCTTCCCCACCATGACACCTCACAGGTGGCACCTTCAAGCGGAAACTGATATTCCGGGTACCCTCCTGCAAATGCCATGTTAGTATTGGTTCCAAGCTTTGGAATTCCGGAGTTTCTGTTGTTAGTGGGAGGAAGGGTAAGAGCTGGCGCCGCCCCTAAGTTGGAAGGTTGGGGCGCGGTGTGCCAGGCACCAACAAAACCAAGGACACAGGTGTCCTTTTTAGGTGAGTTTGGTTAAAAATAGATGGCACTGGTTTAGATGGGGTTTAGTCCATTTACAGGGCCATCTATTTTTCCAAAAAGCCAAGGACCTCCCCAGGCGGGTTCCTTCTTTCGCTTCACAGCCGTCCCAGGGGGGGACCCCGGTTCTTCTGGGGTTGGGATGGCAAGGCCTGCGAAGCAAGGCACCCCTCTGAACAATGGGAAGGGTGTGCGTCAAAGTAATGCGTACCTCTACGAATTCAGGCTTGGGCCCGTCTCTGCGAAGAGGGGCAGGACACCCGACAGGCTCATTTTCCATGTCAGGTCAATATGTCTTACATGCAGCAAACCCTGGAAATGAGGCTCCGAGCATTTTTGCTGGGCCTTGTAGGGTGCAGGGAGAATCTGAATCGCAAGTTGGGTCAGCCACGGTTGCTCAAGCCTTCAGCGGGCGCAAAAAAAGCAGAAGCTTGTCAGCGATGCACCTTGGCAAGCAACTTGTTGACCCCTGGATTTGACGACCTCGTGGATGATGATGTCTGTCCATAAGGGGTTTGCCAACACCTTGTAAAAACCACCGTTGAGCCTGCTCGCTTTACCAAGCTGGACTTTAGCAAGCTACATTTTTGCTGCTCCAATCAAGCAGGTAAGACGCATAATGGTAATTCTGGGCGGGGGAAGCAACCTCGCAAAATGTGCGCCAAGGAAATGGTCCTAAGGAGGCCCCCCCCGAGTTCGGCACTTTGTTGGAGCTTGTGCAATCAGCAAAAAATGGCTCCGGCTTGGGTGTTGAATAAGGGGGGTCTGGAAACCATTTTTTTGGACCTTCGCTGTGCCTACAGTACGAGCCACGTACATTCAACACGTTCGGCGAAGGATACCAAGGGGGATATCCTTCTAGTGGACCTTCGCTGTGGCTACACAAGCCGGATCTTAGATTATGTAGATTCAACACGTTCGGCGATTTTGCAAAAAGAAGGATGCGAAGGGGGATACTGCGGCTGCTGCACTACGCAACTCATTAAATTTGTGTCCATGTCTTCCAGTAGCCTTTCTTCTAGTAGGCGTACGGATAGGCTAACTGGTCAGTCTGCATTGGCTGCTCAAGGGGCGCTGTCCACGAATGGTATCCGTTTCGCAACTATGAAAGGCGGCTTCTTTGGCGGCGCCAAAATCCAAGAAAGCGCCATACTTTTGAACCCCCCAAATAAACAACGTGTAAGCTTCAACGTCTCACTCAGCCAACAAATTATTTGGCGCCGTTTGGGGAACCACGGACCATGCCATGGTCGTGGACAATTGGGCAAAGAGAGCCACTTCACTCTGTTATCAACGACATTTCCTTGAACATGATAGACTAATTCAGGGGTCCCGAAATTTCCATCTTCAGCCTATTTAAGCATGGCCTTTGGTTGCCACTTTAAACGAGTTTCCTCTTGGCGATGTGGGAGGGTGGACATGGAGATCCCACGTCACAAGGCCCGAATCTCGACGAGGTGTCTGGGTTCTTTACCAATCGAGAAACCATCCCTAACCTCCGAACTGCACTTTCTGAGGGAAGCTGAGAACGGAAAGCTGGATGGCCTCTGCCCAACTGGTCGAAAGCCAAAACCAGGCCATCCAAGCCCTGATTCCCCCCCCCCCCCCGCGAAAAAGCCACGAGAACACCCAGGCCGGAGAAAGTCAAGGCGAAGGGCAAGGCCTTGGAGCAACAGGAGAAGCAGCGTGAGGATGCCGCGCCCTGGCGAAAGTGCAAAAAGCGGACGCGTCGTTTCGGGCAGTCTGGGGTCGTCGAAGGCGTCTCAACAGCCAGCTGGGCTGGCCCTGGAATGTGGCAACGTGTGGTACTTTGCAACCAGATTTCTGTACGAATCTTCATGGGTCTCGGAATTTCTTGGTGGACATCATGAAGGTGGGCATGTTCGTCCAGTAACCAGTTTAGAGGGCTCCATATTTCTTTGGTCTTCCAAGGACCTTGACAGGCCCTTCAAGATGTATGTCATCTGCTTATCTCATGGCGAGCACACCAACTTGCGGCAGAAAGAGCTCACTGGTAGTGTGGGTAAGCTATGCACGCAGATGTTATACTTTAACGTCATGGCCGTGGTAAGCCCGGGCTTTAGGGCCACTTTCTGCGATACCAAGCGAACCCCCCATTCAAAGTGATGAAGTAGTCATGGGAATGACCCATGTTGGTATCACAGACATGCTGATTGTCCTACAACCACGTTTAAAGGTTGGCCAAATATGGGCCAGCAACTCAGACTTTTTGGTACCCGACGTGACAGGCAGAACATGCCCTGCCCCCTAAAAGACTTGGCAGGGGTTCCCTCTCGACCATTTAAGCGAGTTGGCTTCCCAACTGGTCAAAGGGCAGTTCCCCTTTTCGGCTTCGTTTTGACGTGCTCTTTGGTTCTTTCTGGATGTGAAAAGGCCGAACCGGTGGAGCTAGCTTTCGGCCACAGCCTTCATGGGTGGGGAAATCAGGTCATAGGCTGGCCTTTGCATGCTGATTATTGGGAAGATGCCATGTGCCATTGGTGTGTATAAACCCTGGTTAGTTTCACAGGTGTCCCATAGAGGGAATCTGAATCCGGATCGGGGCGAACATCCCGCTAGTCCTTCAGATGGATGATTGCGCCCACCCTAAACCCACTGAACCAATCCCCAGCCCACAATCCAGCAACCCCAAGCCCACCCTAAGCCAAAAGGGAGGGAAGTGACGGCCCCTCGCCGCTGACCCCCACTGATGCATGTTTAGAGGGCGACCACAAGCAAAAGGGAGTTGGAGGATACCAGTGAACAACTTTGTTTTGGGGCACATAGATTCACTGAAAAGAAACTCACTAATCAATCAGTGCTGCTTCCACATCTTTTGCCAGGGTCCCTTGGATTCAACTCACCGGTTTGAACAAGAGCACATCCAAATCCGGAGGAGTGAGGCTGGGACCATTCCGGCTATGCAGAAACCGGGCGTTTGATTTCTGGGTTCCGGGTGGTTTTGATGGACCTTGCGGTGAAACCTGGAGCTTCTTCGAGGCAGAGCTTCCAGGGTCTCTTAGCAGGGCAGCTGCAACAGGTGTTTTAGTTTCATGGTGGTTTCTCCCAGATCCGAGTTCCATGGGTGGTTTCCCGCAGAATTTTCAGGGTTTCGGGTAGATTGTAGGTCTCGAGTCGTGTTACTTGACTGAGGAGTTTCCCATCGAAGAGCTGGCGAAGAAGTACAAGACCTCAGCCGAGAAGGGCCTCTCCACCAAGAAAGCCGCAGAACCTTGACAAATTGTCGATTTCGGCACAGCCCTGATTTTTGGGGCACCTTTCCCAGCAAAACCGCGAGCTTCCCATCAGCCAGACGTGTGAGCCACTCAGCTTCTGGGTTTCTTGGAACGGTGGTAAGGCGAAAAACTCCGGACTGGGGCCTGAGAAAAATACGACGAATCAGGCCAGGCCAGTTTGTTACAACGAGCTCGCGCAAGAGGGTTTGCCGTGTTCTGCAAGAGGGTTGGGCTCCGCCGGGACCAGACACTGCTTCGAGCATTTTGTGCCCTGTGTATGCCTCTTGTTCATCATCATGGACATGTGCATGCCTAACATGTTCACTTTCATGATTTCTCAAGAAGAGGGTGGTACTGTAAACATTTGTGTTTTTATTATTATTATTATTATTATTATTATTATTATTATTATTATTATTATTGTTATTATTATTATTATTATTATTATTATTTTTGTTTATTGAGGATTCTCGTTCCGGATGGGTTTTAAAGGGAAACCCAGGAAGGGATTGTTGGACCGAGGGAGCAAGAGCTAGTCTCCCAGGTGCAGGTTTTTGGCCGGGAGCTCACAGGAGCGCGGTGGTGGTTGCCGTGTAAATTAGAGTTACAGCTCGGTGAAGGATGGCGCAATTCCCATGTAGGTAAAGTGAAGAGTTACTCAACTGGCAGGATTCACCAGCCCGCGACTTTCAGCCCATGCATCAAAGATGCAACCAGAGTTGCAAACTTCCTGGCGGAAGGTCCGTTGCGACTGCCTGAGGAGATTCTGGAACGAGATGGCTTGAATGAACTGGAGAAGCCACCCAAGCCCACCCTGCTGATGCTCTTCCTGATGCAGCGGGGACCCCGGATTTTCAATAGTCGAGAAGTTTTCGGATTCCATCCCCGATTCCCCGAACTTCATCGAGAAATCCTGAACAGCCATTTTGCCGCTACAAGGGCGCCATTTGGTGGGCTCCATGCTCGACAGGGGAATCACCATCCTGCGTCCAGAGCGACTCTCATATAGCCCGATTAAGTGGGGGGGATGTAGCTCCCGGAGGGCTGGCTCGGGCGGAAAGGATCATGAAACCAACCTCTTGGATGGGGTGTCTTTAAATCCCGGATAGATGAGACGAGTAAGGGACAGTCCAAGCCGAAACAGGTGGAAGCCGCGCTTGGGATTCTTTACTGTTGGTATTGAGTGCACTGGCTATGCACGTGCAAGGCTCAACTCCCAAGAGGTGCGCAGCCCACGTGATTCTTCTGCTTTTGGGTACCTTCGTTTGGTTTCCCTTCAAGGGGGGCCGTGGTCCATTTTGGTGCTTCTTAAAGTCTTAAAGTAGGGGACCCACCCACCCCCAAAAAACAGAGCTGGGTTTTCACATGCATTCCTGTAACAGAGGCCTCAAAGGTACCTTCAAAAGGAGGACATCTCAAGTTCAGTTCGTTTTTCCGAGGGTTTCTTAAAATGGTGGATCTCTTTTTTTTTTTGGGTTTAACAGGAAACCAACAGGAAACCCTTGCCATTGTAGGAAATGCACCATTTGGCGAAACACCAGTTGGTTTTAGGCGGTCCCACATCAAGCGGCTTTCTAGTCGGGTTTCTACATGTAACACATTGTGAGAAAACTGCAAACCCTGCCCCGGGTGGTGCATCAGGGGCCCCACCAGCTCCCAAATTTGGGGGTGTCTCTTTGTTGAGGCTTCCGGGTTGTTGGACAGAGCTCTGGGCTGCGCCGGCATCCAGACAAAGGGAGATGCGTTATGCAGATTGAAACCATCTGTAGCAAGCTCGGGGCAGGCTGAGTGATTCAGATGTTCATCAGTTGTCCACAGCGAGCCTTTGACCTTTGGTTTTCCATGTAGCCTATCAATGAATGAAACTGGGCGAAGTGGATGTTGCCAATGGGAACCCATTTTACTGGTAAACCAAATCTGGCCACTCGACTCGATCCCACGCTTTTATCAGAACCAAACCATTTTTTGGTTGTTCATGTTTTGGGGGACGCAAAAAGGCAAGTTGTTTTTGTTTTGGCAAACCTATACCGTTTGGGTTGTGAAAATTTGCGAAAGAACGGTTTGACTTTCCCTTGTTGATATCAAAGACTGGACACATTTGGCCATGAATTTTAATAGGGAACCCCTGAACAGAGGTTGAACATAAACCCCCACCTAAATGATGTCCACCAAAGGGTCCCCCCCCAAAAAAAACATATTCATAAAGATATACATATATGGGGATTGTCCCCTGTTGGTTTTACAGTTCGAATCCATCGCTGGAAACATATATGTATTTATATATATATATATATATTAAAAAAGGACACCAGGGAACGGGCCCCAAATACCCATACATAGCCACATACTATATATATATATATTTATATATGTACATGGGATTCCAGGGAATCAACTCGGGCGATCGGCGAAAAAGCGAGGCTCACTAGCTTCATCATCGTGCTGCTCATGGTCTCCGCGGCCGCCTCGGTGATGGTGAACGCCACCGGGCCCAACGCAGCGGACCCCTTGTCCTACACCACAGGCGCGAGGGGCGATGTGGAGCGCGCGGGGCGCGGGGCGCGGGGCGCGGAGTCGGAGTTGGCTTTGGGGAGGGGCGGGGGGTGAAGGGCCCGGAGCCCGGATTCCTCCAGGGTTGCTTCTGATTTTGTGTGTGTGTGTGTGTGTGTTTTTGCCCCTCTGTGTTTGTCCATGTTTTCATTGGAGGGGGGGGTCTTCCTGAGCTCCAGTAGGGTCTTGCGTCAATGTTTTGTTTGGGTTGCTTGAAAAGATGAAACACAAATGGTGCCGCATCTTTTGTTTATACTGGGGGTTTGAGGAAAATTGGGCTTAGGACCGGGGGGAAGGCGACTAAACGGGTGGGTCCGTGTTATCAGAACCCTTGAAGGATGCCACACCGAAGTACCAGGATCCCTTTGTAAGCAGGTGTTGGCTGGATGCATTCTTTACTTAAAGGGGCAGGGTGGAATTGGTTATAACCAGGCTTACAAACCACTTTCTAAGTACCCTGCCCCTTTGAGTAGGCAATGTGGCCTTTGGTTGCGTGAGGGCGCTTTTTGGGCTGTCCTTTTTGGACTTGGGTACGACATTTGCGACGAACCCTCGAAAGCTATGCCAAACTTGTCCCAAGCTGGCAAAAGGACACTGGGTTGCGGATTGGCTCGCTGGCACTTTGGTGGTGAGGGTTGCGTGGTTGTTGTGTTAGCGCCATTGCAAGCTTCCATTTGCTTAATGGGTGGATGTGTTATTTTGGGCATGAGTTCTAACCTGAGACCCTTTGGTGGACGACATTTGCGTGGGTATTCATGTCCACTGTTGAGTTGGTCCTAAGTTAACATTCATAGCCATTTGTTGCTTTCCGTTCTTTGTTTTCCGTGGCTTGATGTGAACACCATGGCGCCGTAAGGCTTCAGCTGAGATAGAGGAAAACTGACTGCGGCTTTTCACCGTCTCAACTTGGGTGAAGAACATGTCTTGTCTTTTTGTTCCCCGCATGGTTCTCAATGTGGATTTTCGTGTTTGCCGACGGCGTGTTTTTTTGTTTTTTCGTCTAGCAGGCGGCAGGGCCCAGTTTGTTTAACTCCCAACCTGTGTTTTTTGGGGCCAAACCAAAAGGCAAACAGGTCAACCAACTTGTTTGGGCTTGGAAAAAAAGCAGGGCCCCCGTGTTTTCTTTGTTGGGCAGCGGGGGGGGTGAAGATGTTTCTAACACCCTTGTGCCCAACGGCCTTACCTGATTTGTTAGTTTGAGTCCGTAGCATAAGACCAGCAATCAGGGATGTGCCTTGCGGAGCGTAGCTGTGACTCTTGGACTTTGGAAGTTGCAGGCTACAGATTCGAGACTTTTTCCCCCTGCAGGCCAGTAGCCAAAAAAGGAAACCTCTTTTGTGGGGGGTTCCCTCTTGAATGCCCACTGAGATGGGGAGAAGGTCAACAGGTTTTTCTTGCCTGCAAGGCATTGCGATTGCGGCTCGGCATGCAAAGGTCGGCAGCAGTTGCTTGCCCGCCGTGTAGCGTGCGGGCGGGTATGCCCACGGCGCTAAAGCAGTAGGGGGACCCTTACAATTCTGTTTGGCACAGAGTCATGGAGGGAGTGTCCCATTTTTCATGGGAACCCCTTTGGGACCACACACTGCTTCCGCCATCAATTGACTGCTATTGGGTTGGATCTTTAGACTTTAACTTCTTGGGAAATTAATAAGTTTTCCACTAAACCCCCAAAAAGTTAACTCTTTGCAGGGGGTCAACAGCAACCAAGACCATGTTTTTTTCCATCGGGGTCAACATGAGTTGTGGGCCTAGGTGCTAAGCACCTTCCCAGTAGTCGTCCGAGGGCAGAGCCTTTGGAGCCATGGCCAGTGGTTCAGGGCCCGGATCGCTACGGACAGGCAGCTATATGCCCCAACTCTTTATCTAGAAGACACAACGGCTTCGTTCAAAGTCCTGACCATTTTTCGAAAGATTCCAGATATTTCGACGATAGGATTTCCCGAAATATTTGGAATATTTCGGGAAAACGGTCCCCGAAATATTCGGAATATTTCGAGAAAATGGTGGGTAGATGTGGGTAGCTACGACGATTTTCCCGAAATATCTAGAATATTTAGGGAAATTGGTCCCATGAAACAAATAATGCGGGTACATCTTCCGGACTATGGCCGGGATAACCAAGACAGAGTTGGGGCATCTTCCGGACTATACCAACAAATCAATATAATAACACCAAAAAAAACATATTTTGTAAATCTCCAAATAATATATCTATAAAACCCCTTAAAAAACCTAATATGTTCTATTTATTAATTTCCTAATATTCCTTCAATATTCCATTATATTTACTCCAATATTATTTTTATATTTCAGATTGCCAATAGTAGGGGAGCCCCAAAATGGTTTGTTTGGTGTCACCACCACCCCAAAAAAAGAAAAAAGGGGTCCCCCCCCCCCCCCGCGCCCCCGCCCCACACATAAAGGAACACCCCCTATCAGTCCGTGGCTGCAGCCTAGTGTCGAAATGGCAGGCACCTGCACTTTTCAAACACAAAACCAGTGCTGCGCTGTCTGAATCCATCCGCTCAAGGATCGAATTTGAGGAAACACAAGTCCACGGGACTGGTCCCATGCTTGTTGCCTGTGATTTTTGCGGTTCTGCTTAAGCAGTGGCCGCAACACACTTTGCCAACACGGGTCGGAAAGTCTTCGCGGCAAGGGGAGGTAGGAGGAACCGTGGGCAGGCCCCCCCATATTTTTTGTGAGAACATAGGGGATGCTGGTTCACCCCGCTATGCCCACTCTACATCAACAACAGGCTACCAGGTGTCGTCATAGAGAGCCATGGAGTCATGGGCAAGCTGGCGCAGTTGCCAAGCCTCAAACCAATTGCATTGGCTCGTGTTATTGATTCCAGCCAGGGACCTGTGGGCTGGCCATGTTCCTAGGGCTGGCTGAGGGACGCTTTATCGGCGTAAACTTTTCTCCTGCTCAAATCATTCAGGGGCATTTTGTCCGGCCGTGTCCTCAGGGCCGTCTTAAGCACATGTTGGCGTAAACTGGTCCATGGCTCATATATCCACCCAAGACACAAGGATGCCTGGCAAAACGCATCACAGAACTTCCCCTCCGAGACATGAGATCAAGGTTATTTTTTTCCAGGGGGGGGGGGGGCATATCCGGCGATTCTTAGGGCATAATCGTGCTGATCAACGCGGGCATCGCCGCCTGGACGGAGCACAAAGCCGGGGATGCCCTCGAAGCGCCACCTGGCCCGGAGAAGAACCACACGCTCAGCTCAAGTGCCTCCATTTGGGCGCCCTCCTTTAGGGGGGCGGGTTCACAGGGAAACCAACAGAAATAACACCAAAGGGACAGACCTTTGGCTGGTCTGAGGTGAGGAACAAAGGCCTGAAAATGACTGGAGTCTCCGTCAAACCTCCGACAGATGCTTGACCGTTTGGAGTTTCCACCCATTGTGAGGCTTAAGTTCCGAAAAGACAAACCCATTGCCTGCCAATTTGTATGTTGAGCTCACCTGGAGGTAACAGTAGGAAAAACAAGGTTACGAAAGGAGCATGTCTTGCTGCAGGTGTTCCAAATGTAGAATATCCATAGTTGTTTAGTTGCATCAAGGTAGCGCATGTGAAGGGTCTGTTTCCTAAGGGCAGCACCAAGCACACAAGCGTACAAGCACGCACACGCAAGCACACGCAAGCACACAAGCACACACACACACAACACAACACACGCACACACACACACAGACAAACGCAGAACCACGCCACAGGAACCAATGCTCTGAGTGGTGTTTTGTTTAGAATTCCCTCAAGTGTGAGTTTGAAGAACATCAAGACAATCTATTCCTCATGTGCATGTGTTTGAGCCGTCTTAAAGTGCATCCTCCCATTTGCCAAAAACAATCACCTCGAAGAAGACCAACAAAAACCAAAGAAACCAAACTCCTGAGGGATATGCTTTGGTCATGCCATGCCTGAAAAGGCCTCTCTGCAGAAACCAGAAAACCTGCAAGAAGACAAACAATTATTGAGGGAAGCATTTTAGCTTAGTCATGCCCAATGCCTTTTGGTTGGGGGATTGTGTTCCTCTTTTGTTAGCAAGATGTTTGTATTTTTCTTGTGGTTTTCAGATTTGGCCATTCTCCTAGTACATCCCTCCCGTGCAAAAGCTTTCTCATGGCATCGGGTACTGCCAAGGTATTCGCGCTGTGTCTAGTGCGGTTACCTTAATAACTTTTTGCAGGTGTGTGAGGTGCCTTCACTTGCACTTGGTAGAGGCAGGGCGTTTGTAGGCAGAAAACGCAAACCAAAAATTAATTACGACCTAGCAAACTATATGGCAAACGCCAGTGAAACGGATTGTTGCGGATTTGGATGTTCGGCAGGGTGGCATATCTCTGTGGTCATTTCATAGGGGTGGGCATTTTGCTGAGCACGTGCTTTTCATTGTTGAAGTGGTGTTACGCAAATTCTCCGAATAATGGTCAACACATTTGCCAGGATGTTGGGTGCTTGTAGTTTGACAGCAGGAACATTTGCTGGGATTTTGGAACCAAGCTTCAAATACGCTAGCCGTACACTGTTGGGAGCCGAGCTGGAAACGCAACCAAGACAAGACGCTAACGATGTTTACAATGTATTTTAAACTGCACTAAGCGTGATGAAATCCTTTCCAACAAACCTGACATGTGCTTGTTTAGCCACACAGATACGATTTTATGTGTGTGTGTCTTGCATCGAGGCTCGCTAAGATGACCCAGGCTGCCATCTACGTGTGGCACTCAGGTTGTGGGAAGTAGAAGCAAGCGTTTGGAAGGGGGAATGGGGCAAACTCAATTGTGATACTTCCATTTGCTCAGGGGGAAAGTAATCGTTCGCCCTGACTGTTGCTTTGCAGGCAATCTGTTGCTGCAGGACATATGTGTTTTCTCAGGAGAATGAAGCAAATGGAAGTTATTGTTTTCTCAGAGTTTTCTCTCAGGATCTCCTTTTGGAGAGCAACCCTGAGGCCTGTTTTCGGGGGCCTTCATGCACAACTAAGATGTTCGGGCACGTCTTCAAATAGCTGCAGGGGAAGCCAAAAGCAATTCAGCGCGAATTTGAATGGGGGACCCTTTGGTGGACATCATCTTTGAGGTGGTTCCTTGTCAGCAATCATGGCTATTCTTGAGAAGCCTGGATCACCATCGGCTAACTGGCAAGTGGTTATTGGCCTCTCTTCAAACTGAAGCATCCCCCTAAGATCAACTCGGACCTACCCCAAGGGTGGTCATCACTATCAGGTCATCCCAGTAGGACCCTGCAAGATACTTCCCAAATAGCACTGTTCTGCGGTGCACACCCCACTCAAAGCGAAAAATTGGTGGAGGGTAGCCGCTAAAATGCCATGCTTGATGCACCCATTCGTCCGCAATAGGATCCAATCGCTCAAAATCAGACCCTGGCTTGCGGTCTTGTTAAGGCTGGATTTTGGAGGAAAACCGTTGATCTTTCTTGGAAGGGGGGAAGAGGGGGAGCAAGAGTTGAATCCAATGACATATGATGATGGAACTGCTTTAGGTGGTGTTTATCTGTAGCCAGTGTCTTTGCCGTTTATTTTGTTGGAGTGTTTGGAGTGTCTGGCAGACATCACATGTGCTTCATTCTTTCGAAGGTGAGGTGACACATTAGATAGCCTTGTGAGTAAGATGCAATTAGTAGTGTAGCTTCCCAGCGGGAATCACCGTCCCCAGTAGTTGTGGTACTTGCCGAAATGTTGCGCGGTGGCACATATTTCTCCTTTTGGTTCGCAGTTGTTGTTCGCTTCCGATTGATCCCACACTTTCTCCAATTTCATCTTTGAATTTCATCTTTGCATTTGTTTGGGACCCCGAAGGTCTACAAGTTGCCGATTGGGGCGTATTTCAATGGTTGAAGCAGGGATTTGGGAAGGGACAGCGCCATGTTCCACCATTCAGTTCCATCCGCCATTTGTTTTCGCGTGGAGTTGAACCGTTCTTGAGGAGCTAAATGGGATGCCTAAGATCCAAATTCCATCCAAATCACCCAACAGAAGCGCAGAACCCATTCGCATGGGCTCGAGTCCGAGTCTAGTCCGATCAAATCGATTTGCGAGGTGCTCCGGGATGGCAAGGAGGTGCAAGTGCCCGTGCCCAGCGTGGTGTGCGGGGACATCGCCGCGACCTCGGAGGATTGTCGCAATCGCCCGGGAGTGGCCGGCAGAAGCCCAGGAAGAGGCTCAGAGGGTGGCCCTTCCCAATTTTGTCGGAGGTGGCAACTGGCAGCCTAGAATTACAAACTCATCTAATAGACTCGTTTTTTAGGTGTTTTTTTCTTTGCAGGCGCAGTTCAGAAGGTACCTTGTTGTCCACTTCCGAGATGTTTCTTGGGGTTTAGAATCAACCAAAGGGTGCACCTTCTTGTCTGGGGCTTCTCTTTGATGGGGTGTCTCATGGGGAAGCCCCTTTCGCAGCTTCGAGGATCCGGGGTCAATGGGTGCGCCGGACAATGGATCCGGACTTTTCATGAAATCCGTGGTTTCCCTTTGAGTCCCTTCAAACAACCCACCAAAGATAGACACCCATAGAGCAGCTTCATATTACTTTCAAGGAAGCCCCCCTTCCGTAGAGAAGGTCTTCCGGGAGAAACATGTTCCTTGGGCACCTTCACTAAAAACATATAGAAAAAACACATGTGAATGTGGGGCGGATATGAATGTGGGTCAAACATAGGTACCCAAAATGTAACCCTGGTAAATAGAAACAAGGACTCAAACCTTCGGTCCCTGGTGGTATAAGTTTGACAAGTACCCATATGAATCATATGAAGGAGGTAAGACTTCCTATACTTCTCCTTGACGGGTGTTTTTGTTCAAAACAATGCAAGCCTAAAGAACGTCCGGAACAAAAGCTGAGCCTCCGTTGGGCGCAGGTTAAATCTCACAGTGCCAATTCGGTGACGCCTGACCTCTCCGAGTCCCTTGCATGGGTTTGTCATTGGAATGAACCCCCCCCAAAAAAAGCAAAAGGAGTTGAACGAGCACCAAAACCGCAGCGGGCTTTCTGGTGAACCCCCTTGGAGGGTTTGTCTTCTTCGGCAAGGTTTTTTGCATGCCTCCCTCGAAATCGCCGGCCGCTGAGCACCTCAGGTGGTGCTGAATACGGGGGATGTAGTTCCCGCGGACCTGCGCCTCTTCGAGGCCGAGATGGAAATTGGTTTCGGCTTTCTGCATTTCTTTTGTCGGGATGCCCCCTTTTGCAGATGCAGACATGTGCTGCAAAGCTACTAGATTCCAAGGAGCATGGCTACAAGTATTGAGTGATTGAAGTCGTAGTTCATAGGTTATTGGCCCTATTGTTCTCGGATTTCGTCATTCAGAGGGAAACGTGCGATAGGTTCCTTAGGCCGGGGATTAGACTAAAATGAGGAATTTGTTGGCCTTTAGTTCGGTCCCCCAACCAGTCCCCCCAACCCCTTTTAAGGTTCCACAGTGACCTGTTTGCTCATAGGATATGCATTAAAGTTGCATGTGATTCGAATTCTCATATTTGAGTTCAATGAGCCACTATACAAATTGAGCTTTCGCTGCTTGAGTATTTGCAAAGATCTCCGTGGTGAGCATCTTGTAGTAGTGATGATGCCGAATTAGAAACATGTCCTTGGCGAAAGCGGTGTCCCCCGCAACTAGCGCCAATATTGGTTGCTGCTGCGCCTTCAGGTTGGCTGCTCTGAGGCTATAGTATAGAAACATAATCTATACATGTTTGGGTCCAGATACCGTATACTGTGCATGGAGTAGAATGCGGCTTGATTTCCTTTGAATCATCCCCTGCGTGAGTTGAGTAATAATTTGCCGCTTGGGAGTCGGCATGGGTGGCTCCATAGTCTGGCCATTAGTTGAGTTGCGAACTAGTTCCCTATCACTCTGCAGCTGAAGTTCTCAAGCTAGCACAAGCAGTATTTGCTGCTGCTCCATGATACTCATCTCCAACAGCACATGTGAAACGATCACCTAAGGCAGCAAATACTTAGCCTAGCTGCACTGAGGCTATACTTTCATACTACGTATGTTGCTTTCCCAAAATGAGCAGTGACACAGTTGACCAGCTTAAGCAGCATGATGTGCAACATGGGCAAGTTACTATGCAACTGCTTCTTGTTCCTAGTTACAGCTTGTTTCTTACGTGCTGACGGTGTATTGCCTGAAACGATGACTTTTTTTGGACAAATGTTGTGTTCTTAGCGTTGGCGTTGTGAATTGCTGTGTCTAGGGATGCTGTAAGATTGTTAGGCATAGTGACTTCCCTAGTTGAGGCCCAGTCTGGGCTCTTTGCACGAAGGCTGTACCACTACAAGGATATATATATATATGTATACATTATGCCGCATATTTGGCGTGCACACATAGTCACACATATTGCAATGGCCCTACATGAGCATGTTCTGCTGCTTGATTCTTAAGCCTGCTTCTGCATTTGGGGCTTGATATGTACATTGTTGTGTGCGTGTTTGTATTGCAGGAGCATTTTCGGCGCTGAGCTATTTGACATCTTGTTTGTAGGAATGTGCATTTTGTGTGGTACGTTAGCTGCGGAGGTTCTGCATCATTCTATCAACACATTATACTTCAAAAGCAGTTGTAATGCTTGCATACCAAAAAGTACACCCACGCCTTCCAAATCCCTGTCGCAAGGCCCTGAAAGAGCAGAGGAGGGCGTGTACTGGTTTTACAATGTTTAGTTAGCTGCTGCTTTCATACAAACAAAACAGTCTCTGACAAACATGGCGCGCGATTCCAGAAAATAAGCTGTTGTAGACATGATTGCTCTCAACAAGCTCAAGTTACAACCAGGGATTTACGCAATGAGGGGCCACCTCTTTTCGCCGTGACTTACATTCTCATTCGCGTAGGACCCAACCGCCCCAAGATTTGAAATGGCATGTTGGAACAAAACAAGCTACTTTTCATACGTGCACTTTTCCATTTTCGCCACTAAAGGCAAACATACCACCTGTTGCTCCTTCGGGCGGGAGCTGAAAGCGCGGCGATGGGCACACGGCCCCTTCCATGACCCTCTTGTGTCGCAGGCTAAGGACTTCAAGGTCAGCGAGATGGCCCTCACAGGCCACGGCATGTTCGATCCCCCTGGGGGATGAGGGCTGAGGGAATGTTCGTTCACCGGCCAGAATTAGGAAGCTAAAGGATTAAATTGGGGGAAAGACTGAGTTGTTCAAAACGAATCATTTTGAGACAAACCCATGGTTGCCATTGGTGACTGATGCGGGCCCGTTGACCATGAGCCATGGCTCTTTTAAAGGCTTTGGTTGGGTCACAGGAGTATGGCTTCCAATTAAAAGCTCGGGGGTCTTGCGTGGCATCTCCTTTTGTAGGCATCATCGTTTGGAAAGTGGAGGCAAATTTGTGCTTCTGGCTTTCGCCATGCATGTCCTTTGAACTATGGATGCCAAACCTGTACACTATCGGGTGGTTCCAGAAGAGGCATTAGACAGGGCACGTAAGGGACTTTTTAGGGGGTATGTGAGGGGCGCCCAATGGAAAACACCTGGCGGTCTTGGATGTACCCAGTTGCCCAGTGGCGCCCTTTTTTCCTTTTTTTTGGTAAGGGTTGCCCTTTAAACTCAACCAACCAAAAACAGAACGCCCTTTTTTCCCGTGGAAGTCCACTGGGCATCTGAGTGCATCATTTACGGAACCCCCGGGTTTCGCGCCACGGTCTGGTCGGCTTCTGACCTCCGGCCAGGGGAGCCCGACGACGTGACCAAGACCGCCAGGGTGAAGGCCAAGAAGGAGGGCCAGCCTGAGAAGCAGCCCGGTCCGAATTTTCGAATCCGGTGCGTCAGCCGCGTAAAATGCGCGGGCGTCGTTGTTTGCCAACAGGCGCCATCAAGCCAGAAGTTGGAGGAAATACCTTAGGACCTCTGAATCAGTCATGATTTTTGGGTTGGGGTTCATGTTTTCCGACCACTGTGGAGGGTGGTTCCCGTTAAAACTTGTAGCCATTTGAAGTAAATGAGCCCGGATTAAGCAGAGATTGGCGATTTGCATCAACCTTTGTTGGTGACATTCCTCCTTCTTAGCATGATGTGGATGTTTGCAACCAAAAGTGCTTCGGTGTTCTTGTCTTTTGGAGTGGATACAGGTTGTAAGGGACAAACACCAGTTGTTTTCCTTTGGGCCTTTGGGCAGCCCAAAAGCTTACCCTCAGAAAGACGTATACACACCCCTCTATTTGGGTAGCGCGTCTAGGGTGCGCCTTTCCCTAGAATCGCAAGAGTCACTGAAACAAGAGTGGCTCAATCAAGAGTCCCCTTTGGAATATGAGCGGCTCATCCTTTTGCGGGGCTGGAAAATCCTCGGGCTAGCTTCAAGCATCGCATTGGAGCCAATTCAGGGAAAAGCTCGGAAAGACATGGAATCCGATTTACACCGGCAAATCAAGGGGTCCCGGGTTGGTGCAAAAGGTAAAAACAAATGCACTTTAGAAGAAGAAGAAGAAGAAGAAGAAGAAGAAGAAGAATAATGAGGAGGGGCGGCCAAAATGCTTGAGCACTGCCAGCAGTTCTCCCCGACAAAGATCTACGATCTTGCAAGAGCCAGAAAACAAAAAGGATGGAAGTTAAATGAATCACCGGGCTTCAAATTTACTGATCCAACGTCAATCATCACAAGATATCACAGGAGGAAACTCTTTTGCGCATTCGCCTTGTCACCAGGTGATATTGAACCGCCAATGTAGGGAGTGACTTTTTAGCCCAAACGTATCCTAGAGGACCTTACCTTGGAAACTGACAGCTAGATAGCCCAACACATGAATTATAGTAAAAGTGTGAAGCCCATTTTAATGACTTAGCTATTATTCTAGCTCATAAACGTCCAGGAACACTTTTAGCACCGGGCTGTTCAGAATGCAGTGTTGGCCAATCCCAATCCACAGTTTCCCAATTGGTGCGAGCCCCCTAAATCGGAACGGGTTGGGACCTTCGTGGGTGCGTGTGGCAAGCCCAAAGGCTAGCTTCCGAGGCCTCAACGCCTCCATGCTGTAGCTCTGAATCAGTTTTGGAAAGCAAACAGTTGGGTCCAAACAGGGGTTTCATGTTTAGATGTTTCTCCAAAAGGTTGACCCTTCTAGCGGGTACTTCCAAAGGACACCTGCGCGTGCCCGCGTGTTTCCGGCCAAAGGCTCACCCCCGAGACCATGGCCTTCTCCGGGTGCTCGGTCACCAGCGGCGTGGGCAAGGGTTTGGTCACCGACACCGGCATGAACACCCGCAGCTTTCTCTGGGAAATGGGTTGACCGAATGTTGGGAAGGGGCACCTTACCCATTTCAATCCGGGGGAACAGATCGACTTCCATTTGCTTAAGCCCGGGACAAAAATATCTAGTTTGCGGGAGGGTGTTCGGATTTTCGGGAGGTGGAGCTGGGTTCGTCTCGACTTGCGACTGGTTTCAAGGCACGGCATAGAGTTCCAAGCCGACACCCGCTGCACCAATTTAGCATCCAGTGTGCAGCTGCCCCAAAGCCGACCTTTTCGACCGTTGGTTCTCTCACTGCCGTTTTTTGTTCCCTCTCCGAAAGCCCCAATGGCAAGTGGGATCGACGTGATTGTGATCAAAGTCACCGGTGGGGGGATGGGATGGCACGTTGAAGCCCGTCATTTTAATGGGCACTGAGAACGAGAGGAAGGCGGGGCCAGAAAAAAAGGGGATGCTGGTGCACATTGCGTAGCATGTTTGGTCCAATGGTCTTTGGATCGGCCTCCTTCGCATCCCACGCTTGGCCTTTGCCTAACCAGAGGCCAGAGGCCAAGGCAAAGCCCTCCGGCAACTACTTGCCTGACCAAGGGCGAAGAGCTCTCCTTGCTGAGAAAAGCCTGCCGCATGCGGAAGACTGTGCGGAGGTCACATATTCTTGTCAAGTATTTGACTTTTTTCTTCACGGTTTGACACCTTAGAAAACAACGATTCTGTTGGCAAACTGGTGGAGTGTGGCACTGTTTTCGCCGACGTCAAGGCCCACCAGCACAGTGATCGTAACATGCTTCATGGTATGTTAAACCACCCCCTAGCTGACTACCCCCCCCTCCTGGAATTAGGGATAGGCCCTTATTAAGGCCTTATTAGGGTCTTAATAAGCCATTATTTTTATGTTAGCAGAATAAGGGCAAAATAGGGGCTACTGCTTCAACCTTTTTCGTCACCACTAGTTTGGTCGTATTTTGGGCTGAGGTCCGCTGAGGTGTGAATGTCACGGGATGATGGGTTCCGGACTCGTCTGGGTGCCAAACAAGACATAGTTTCAGAAACACACAAACTCAGTCACGACATGTGCAGCACCCGCTCCAGCTGACTTCAATCAAATCAAGTTCTCACAAACAAAAACAACAGGAGGAAATTGTCTAGCGGAGCCTTTCGTGTTGCAACAAGATGCTTGTCCTTCTGTTGGCCTGCCTCAGAAATCTTCAAATGCCGTCGGGGTGCCCTTATTTCGGCCTTATTTGGACCTTATGTTGGTCTTGTTTCAGAAATCTTCAAATGCCGTTGGGGGTTGCCCTTATTTGGGCCTTATTTGAACCTTATTTGGGGCTTATTTTGGCCGTTTTCAAAAGTCTTCAAATGCTGTTGGGAGTTGCCCTTATTTCGGCCTTATTTGGGCCTTATTTGGACCTTATTTGGACCTTATTTTGGCCTTACTTTGGCCTTGCTTTGGACTTATTTCAATTCTCTTATTTGAGCCTTATGTTGGCTCGATTGCAAATGTTGAAATCAGGTGGCCTTATGGTTTGCTTTCTGCTTGACTTTAGGCAGGGTTTGGCCCTTCCTTTGACATAGTTTGTATTTGTGTGGGGGAAAGTGAGCGTCAATCAGTGGTGAGTAGTGAGCTGTGCAGAAAATGCTCTCACCACACGCCAGCGCAATCCCAAGTAGCCCCAGTCAAATTAACTTCCGGGGGGGGTAGTTGGCTAGGGGGTGTCGCGTCCGGTGCCGATGCCGCGAACCCAGGCATCGGACGCATTGCGAAGCTGATCTCCGGTGATGACTCCTGGCGTGCTGTTGAGTGGGCACTTCCATGAGGTTCAGTCAAAACTCCAGTCCGGTCTATAGTGTATTTGGAAGGGGCATGGGGGGGGGGGGGAGGAAAGGGATGGGATGACTATGGATGGATAGATGTGGGTGGCCGTGGGTCGATGGATGGATGGATGGGCCTGCAAGGGCTCTCGGCCCACAGGAGCCGTCCCTCCCATCGTTGGGCCGCCTGGGGCTCACACAATTACTCACTGCTTGTTGTCATGCTTCGAGAGCTTTGGAACTCAGCTTTCCTTGCTTTTGTTCCGTTTTCAAGGGGTTGGCTTGTGGACCGGGGAACGCGGGAAGCCCTTGCAAGGTCCAAGGATGCCCACGCCCTGAAACAAAGCTTCAGCGCCTGTTCAATGCCAGGTGTGAGGCGTCCATTAGGATGTTTGGGTTCCACTCCCAAGAGTGGAACCCAAGTAACATGGAACCTGACATGGGGCCCCTTTAAATGGGAAAACGGTCCAAGCCAGGACCCCCCGAACGTCAGGTTCCATGTTAATTGGTGGGAGGGTATAGGTTGGCCCTGCTTGCTGCCGAATGTGCCTTTTCCCAGGAAGGGCCGAAGACGACTTGCTTCTGCTTCCCGGATACTTCGGGCAACCAGACGCCCCTGCAGCAGAACCTGAACAAGTTAGGCTGGCGGGCCGGAAGCCGCAGACAACATGGCACTAGGAGGACCCCCTTGCCCGGCTCATGCGAAAAGCCAGGACCAATGCATCGCGATCCAGCCAGGTTTTAACTCGTCGAGTTTCTCCCATAGTCTTTGGTTGCTACAATCATGGAGCCGTGGCACTTGCTTCATGGTGTCCTTCGGCTCCGTTTTGTGGGCGCTTTTCAAAAGGAAATGCAGGTTGCCACCCAAACCACCGAGTGTTGTCGAATAGGCTTACCCCGAGGCCGCTCGGCGCTCGGACTCTGCATGCCCTCAAGAGCAATCCCGACTCCGGAGAAGCACCCCCGGCAAAGACGTCTTTTGAGGGGAGACCTGAAAGAAAGGGTAGGCGAGAGACGTAGATTTTCCAAGGGCACAACCACGTGCCCCTGCAATACACCACGTAGGCCCAACTGCATGGCACAACACTTGCTTACCAGGGTACGTTGGGTAGCTTCCCTGAGCTTGGGTCAATCCAAACTTTGGGTTACGGTGTCACCAGTTCTATGGTTTTGGGCACATGTCAACATTCGGGGCGACTTGTTTGGTTGGTGAGTGTCCCAAACCAGGGTGCCCTTCAACACCTCTTAAAGGAGCAGTGGACTTGGTAAGTGGTTAGCCAGCCTGGTTATAACCTACTTACAATGGTTATAAGTCTCCCAAGTGGGTTATAATCGGGCTTACTAGCCACTTACTAAGTACCCTTCCCCTTGAAGTAGATCCGCAAAAAATCGCCGAGCGAGCTGAGAAGCATCCGCGGAAGGCGCCCGCATCGGCATCCTGGCCATTGTGATTTGTGCACCTCGGCCAGGGCGGCATCGTTCGAGCGCTCGGGAGTGAGAAACTGGCCTGAAGGCTTCTTGGGAGTCTTGAATTTAGGCAGAGTCCCTTAGATACCCGCTGGATGTCCGGGCAAGGAGCCAAAAAGGCAAAACAACACGTACGGACATGAGTACACAAGTCAAAATAATAATAATAATAATAATAATAATAATACTAATAATAATAAAATAATAATAATAATTGATAATACTAATACTAATAATAAAACACATGGGTCCGGCTCAAACCACGAGGAAGCCCGTTTGGATGGTTTTACAGGGAAACCACGAGGAAACCATCTACCTGGGCCCCTCATCTTGAGAAACACCCATAAATGGGAAAACAATGAAAGTAGAAACCCACAAGCCAAGCCTGGGGTGGGCGATCCCAGGAGTTTGGCCAAAAATCAAAGAAATTGCCATGCAAGTTGGCTTTACACCCCAAAAGGCTGGATCGCTCGCCACAGGCAAATCCACGGGAGGGACGATACTCACGTCGAGCGCCCTGTGGCTTTCTTTCAGGAACCCTCACGAGAGATCCTCGAGACCTGGCGGGCTTTGTTGCCATGTTGCAAGGTGAACTCAAACGAACCCCACAACTTGGAGGGTTCCACGATGTTCGGAGCCCTCCATTTTCTGCGCGAGCTATTTGTTTCCCCGACCTTGCCAGGGACTCAAAAACGGGGCGCTGAGGTGGGTATCTTCATCATCGGCTGGGCCACGGACCGGAGGGACCCCACCAGCCAGGAAAGCGCAGCGCCTCGAAAGGACTCAGGACAAAACTCGTGCGGCTTCATGTCCGTCCAAGGTATATCTAGCAAGAGGAGCCACCCATGTGGATGGTGGCGAAATCCACCTAAGAAACCCTGGTTTCTGATTCGATTCCCCTGTAAATACCAACAAGCAATGGTTTCCCATAGCTTCAAAGTGGTGCGAAATGCATCCACAGTATCTCTGAAGCCGGAGTCGATTTGTGGTGAGGCCTGGCTCTACATGATCCTTGTCTCGGTGACCTTGGCCGTGGCGGCCATTCCCGAGGGCATCCCGCTCTGCGTCACCATCTCACTGCGCCTTGATCATGCGGGTCCTACAGGCTGTGGGTCAAAAGTAGGTACCCACAATGGAGCCCTGGCAAATGGAAACATGGACTAAAACCTGCGGTCTTTTGTTGGTTCATTTTGACCCATGCCCCACAAAAAAGTCGGCCGGCATGTTGAGTTCTCAGAATCGTTTCCATGGGATTCCAGGAGCAAAGGAGGGCTTCTTCGAACAAGATCCAACAAGTTTCACCATCTAACTTGTGCCTTTGCCATGATACTGCGGGCTGAGGGGAACGCGGGTCAACTTTTCTTCGGGATCCCGACTCAAAAGGTGCAGACTCGCGCAGGGGCCGCTTTGTGCTTCTCTTGGGCCAAATTCAATAAGAGGGGGGGAGGGTGACGGTCCTTTTGAGGTATGTGCGTCTTTTCTTACCCTTTTTTAATTCTGACGCCAGAAGGAACACCACCTTTGTCACCTTAATGGACCTTGGGGTCTTTGCCTTTTTTCTAGCTCAGAAACCGGTCCCCTGCCCTGAGCCAAAGGCGAACACCCTTGGGCTCAGGCAGGGGCAAGAACACACGAAACTACGGCGCCTACCAAAAGTGAAAATACCCAGGCTGAAGGCATCGGAGGGAGGAGTAGTGTAAGGTGGCTTCCAACCATTGTGGGGCTGGGAAGTCAGGCCAGGGCCTAGAGTCCTAGAGAAAGCTCGAGCAAGATCCATGTTCTTTGGCGTTGAGGGGGGGGGGCTGAACCGAGATATGTTATTTGTCTTTTCTCTTTTCTTTTTTTTTTTTGGGGGGGGGGGGGTGGGTTAATTATTGTTTCCGTTCCTTCTCAAGCTTTCCCCCTTCCTGGGATTGTTTTGGGCTAGTTCAAAGGCCACTGTGACACTGTGTAAATAAGTTGTGTTGTGTTTTTGTTTTCTTTTTTCGCAAACCGTAGTCGTGACTCTCCCTTGCTGGATGTTCAATGTATTATTTTTGATTTGGGGGTGAAGTTTTTGTTGCATAGTTGGATCAAATAATTTCACATGTTCTTTCTTTTGTTCCCCTTGGGGTGGGAGGCGGAGGATTTTTCCTGGCTCATGATTTGGGGGTTTATCAATCGTTCCCGAGAACTTTTGCATCATGATTCTTATCATGTGGACAGTATATGTACTGGTTGACCTGTTGCCGGCGCCGTAGAACTTGTGTTGCGGAAACAGCTTCGATCTGCCCGTTTCCTTTTTGTTTGTTTTTGGCGGGCGTTGGGGGGGAGCACCTTTCCGGGTTGGAAAAAAGCATTTGGAGGGGGGACCTTCTTTTGGTCCATAGGTTCGGAAACGGTCTGGACATGTTTGGCATGGGACACTTTGACACATCAAGCACACGGCCTCAACTTGCGGGTTGACTTGCTGGTGCTCAGTAGGGAATGTCGGAATGAACCGGAAGACTGTTCCCCGAAAGAAAGCCACCAGTTGGATGATTCATAAGGGTCATTCCAACCCCTATGCCCGGCTGAGCACCAGCCAGAAGCGTTAGAGCCCGTTGCGGAGCCGCATCCGTCTTAGGTCGCTCGGCTGCTCCGCGCCTTGGAACTCACGGAAATCTCCAGTCAAGCGGGCGGGCCAGAGGGTGGGTGTGCAAAACCTGAGTCCAAGGCCGAGGTGTTTTCTAGTCGTTTTGTTTCTAAGCTGGTTTCTAAGCCTAAACTGATTTGTTTCTAGTGTGCAAAATCTGGTTTCTAAACTGCCGATATGTTTCTAGTTTTGCGGTCGGCAACCAGGAGTGTAGCTTCGAACCGGCTGTTCAAGCACTGGGTTTGGAACGAGTGGCGTTGTTGGGGACCGATTGGCTGAATTACTGCCGACCTGACATGGGCTGAAACCGGAGGCTGAGGTACCTCTAGTCGCTTAATCTTTAGTCGTCTCAGAAGCTTAAGCCTTTCACGTCCAGGTCTTTTGGTGAGTAAGTTGGACGAAGTGGGGGGCGATGTTTGGATTGTGGGGTGTTTGTCAAAGACTAGCATGATCAACTTGGACCACTCTGAGATGGGGTAGGCTGAGGTGTTTGCGAGCTGTCATGCTTATCTTGTACTGGAGGTCTGGAGATTGCGAGTATGGATGGGGCTCACTTCCAATCTATGTGACAAAGGTGATGTTCACATTGGCCGTGGTGTTTCGATCTTTGCGTGAAAGCAGATGGCACAATTCCAGCCCAATGTGGCTTAGTCATCCCCTTTACCAACATGGGAATTGTGCCTAGGAGAATCCGTGGGCCGCGAAAATGGGGAAGCTGGTTTTAGTGGCATGTAAAGCCACTTGCCAAAGCCAGTCCATGTTTTTCCAACCACTTCTTGCTAATGCCCAGGAGGTAATGTTCACTTCCTTACAAATCACCATGGGCAAGGGCTTGTTTCTCCCAAGAAAGGTTTTCATTGAAATGGAATCGCCACATGGAATTAAATCCAGGGGTCATGTACTCCCCTGAGTATTCCAAGTGGCAGCCAGATGCTAGAACCCGGCGTTGTACGGTAATTGTCCAGGCCGGGTATTTGTCCAGTAAAAAGAAACAAAAAAAACTCAAACCGCATGCTTGGAGTGGAGACTTTGCCCGTTTTAGTTTCCGCGTGTGTCTTTCTCAAGCCCCTTCAACTCGGTGTCTAAGAAATCTACGACGAAGCTTCCGAGCTTCCCATGGCTGTTCACTGGCGCTTTTGCAGGGGTCCTGCCTTGCGGGGGGGTTGAGCGCACTGTGGCATGTCTCTGAGGATGCCGGAACCCTCCCCCAAAGATCATGATATCGGTTTTTCTTGTCATTTGTTTCTGTAAGATAATGATATTTTTTCCCTCTATATGTATATGTATATATACATAGGTCCTTCTCAAGGAAACACCAAGAAGGAAACCATGGGACATGGATTTCCCTCTTCTCTCTCTGTCTCTCGCCAAGGAGATGGCCCTGGCCTCAGATGGTCAGAGATTCGGCGTGCTTGGAAGCGCGAGGATGCGAATCCAAGTCAGGGCGTTTTTTTTTTTTTTTTTAATCGAAGCTTGTCTTCTTCTTTTCTTGTTTTTTTTGGGGGGGGTTATTCCGGTTGCTGGGAGCTTTGAACACTTTTCGTTGTTGTTTTTGGAGTGGGGGGGGTCTGGCAATTGGACTTGACACTGATTCGTTCTTGAAAGCGATGGACTTGTTTTTTGGGTCAGGGCTCCACCTGGAGCCTTCTCTTGGCCAATGCGGGTGCTGGAAGATATACAGAGCACGCGAACAAAGCTTAACTAGGTCCCCCGGTAGTGTCCTTATACCCTTTTTTGGTTGGGAGGGTTCCTCCACTAAAATAGACTACAGAAAAAATAAGGGTACCCTTATTCTAACCTCTCTACTGGAGGACCTAGGTAAAGATTCATTTTCTTGGCCGTTTGGTTGGAGCCTTGACCTTGCGAGCGGTTTCTTTCGTTAATTCAGAGTCTTTGAAAGGGGTGTTGCACCGTCCATATGTTATATTTATTTGGGGGGAGGGAAGGGTTGCCCTGTTTGCAGGACCCATTTCCAAGGCTTGGATTTGTTGAGTTATCCTGCGTTGACCATCTTTACACGGGCAAACAGGCAGGTGAGCTCGGAAAGAATCAACATTATCCACTCAGCCAAGATTTACTGAATATGATGTACGTCGAGCAGAAGCTGACAAACATAGTTTCGGTGTATCCCAGAGTTAGGCCAATCTAAGGCTGAATGTAAACACTCATGTATGAACCCTGGTAAAACCTAGGGTATGCCGTTAGTTATGGCTTTCTTTCTGGGAGATCAGCGTCTAAAATGCATTCGTTCATACATTGACCTATACAATCAGCCATTGACACTTTGTCTATGGTCACTTCATGGCACCTCACGTGGTCCCTCTCGCAATCCAAGCACCCATGCCATTTGTTGGAAACACTGTGTCAGCAAGTAATTCACCACTAAACATGGGACGTCACATCCAAACTGTTTTCTAGAACATGTTTGTTGGTGCGCTGGGCCTAGCTATTTTACCATTCGCCTTGTTCCAATATCTATGTCCCCCAGTAGTGCCCTTTTACCCCTTTCTTGGGAGAGGGTTCCCCTACTAAAATAGACTGGAGAGGAACAAAAATGGTACCCTTATTCTAACCTCCAAAACTGGAGGACCTAGATTCCTTGTGGTTTTTATATCGGGAGGTTCCCTTGGTTACCCCCTGGGGGGTAAATGGATCCACTTGGGAATCACCCCCTAGAAGCTTTCTCAGAATCAGCTCCCCTTTTTGTTTTTTCTTGCTTTTTGGGGGTCCCTTTGTTTTCCACTAACCAGGCAAAAAACAATATTTTTTGCTGGGGTCCCAACCAAAAAGGACCAAGCGACGTGAGGTCCACCAGGAGGTGTTGGTCCGCAAGATCGCGGCGGTGGAGACGCTGGGCTCGGCCTCGGTGATCTGTAGCGACAAGACGGGCACGTTGACCGAAGGACTCGGGTTGGCGATCCTATTGTTGTCCAGGGAGTGTTTTTTCTTATTATTTTTAATGTTTACCTCCTCTTTTTGTTGGGTTCCCTTTTGCATTTTTCCTTGTTGATATCAAAGGAAACCTAGGGCCCCACTGGATTTGTTGTTTGACCAGGCTTACTAACCACTTGCAGTCAAGTAGGCTAGTCGCATCGGTTTGGCTTGATTGTCTCGCCGCCGTTGGGGAAAGCATTGTAGCAGGGTCGCATCGATTCTTGAATTTAGGTTGCGTTTGGCATGTCTCTTCCTCGAGTCCTTTCAGAGCTAGCCCACAAACAACAGCAGCAGCAACAACCAAAACAACAACCAGCCAGCCGCAACCGTGCCTACAATCAAAATTATGAGCAGAACGCACCCATTCTTCGAACACTTTTTGCAGAACAGCTTGACAGATGTGTGCATTTGCATTGTTTAGATTCCCAGTTGAGTTTATGTGCCTAGGGACCTGTTGGTTGGGCCACTGGGGCTTTTGGTTTTGGACCTCGTTTGAACCTCGTTCGGGCCTCGCTTGGGGCCTCGTTTCTGGCCTCCCCAAAGCCAAGCTTGTTTCGTTTTCGTTGGGCATTTTGCCCAACATCGTTGGATTTTCGTGCGGGAAGTCGTGTTGGAGTATGATGGGCCTTGCTCCTGCCTTGCTCCCTGCCTTTGCTGTCTTGCTTTAGCTAACTTTAGCTGTTGCTGCCTCACTACCTTGTTTTGCTTGCTGCGGCGTTGCCAATGGGCTTCGGCTGATTGCAGTGACCGTTACCCTGTCGCTGCGATGTTCCCCTGTTGGCGACATGTTCAAAGAAGCTGCAGTGATTAAAGTCCGTGACACTAGTGTGCGAACTAAGTGGCCCACAGCTCCTTTCGAAGCAAGCAAGCAAGCCAGCCAGTGTAGTTTGTGATTATTGGCATCAGTCTTGCAGCATGCTTCAAGTCATGAAACGCAACCTAAACGTGGAGGTGATGGACCCTGATGTGACCCGGTCGCATCGACTTTGTCTCATAGGAGTGAAACACACATCAAAACAGTTGATGCGCCTAGCCCACCCGACTGTACCTGACGTACTTTGCCCCTTTAAGTAGGGAAACCAAAGGGAAGCCACCCGATCGTTTGGCGGCTCTGTACGGGCAGGAAAGATGACCATGGTGGGCATGTACGCTGCTGGGGTCACCTACGACGTCACCGGCAAGGGCTTCGACCCAGAGGCCATGGGCCGCCGCGCGCGCGGGGGAGAACTTTGAAGCACCTCAAGGTCAAAGAGATACGTTTTTTGTTTTTTTTTTTTGGGGGGGGGGGCGATTTAGATACTGGCACCCTGACTGAAAGGGGTTTGGAGAAGTGAAACTGCATGGTTCTTGGATCAAGTTTGTTTTGTGTTGTTTGAAGGTTTTAGGATGTTCTGTTTCAGTTTTTAGGCTTGGGGGCTGCAGAAAACGGTCAGTTTGCTGCAGCCATGCCAAAGGTTGCTGCATATTTTGGGCTGTGCCTTTTTGCCCCTTAATTCGGGCGCCGAGCTACCGGAAATGCTAGTTGTGGACCCCCCGTGGCTCCAAAAACGATATAGGAGTTTTTTTTGGTCAGGGACCCTCGAACACATAATTTCAAAATGGTGGTTTTGCTTTTGGTTTCCCTTTAAAACCACAAACAAGGGTGTACCCATAGAGAAAGGAAGGAAGCTTCAGGGACCAAGGGCTCCCGAATCGTCAAGATCTTATTTGACATGAGAATGGCTATCAGGAATTAGAGGCCCCATCATTCTCAGGAAGGGCTGTCACCTTGAAACATGGCTTTTAATTGCAGGGTTTTCGGGGTAGGCCCCTGAGAATTTGCATTTCCAATGGAATCCCCAGGGTACGTGGCTTCTTCCAGGTGCTGTGTGTTTGTGTGTGTTTGTGTGTGTGCTTGTGTGTGTGTTTGTGTTTGTGTTTGTGTGTGTGTGTCGGCCTCTCTTGCCCACGGCCCACCTTTTGACCTTGCGGTTTTCCATGTTGACTCAGCCTTAGCCAAGGAGCATAGAAACAAGCAAACCAGCAAGCAAACAAGGACATGTCGTGTTGCAGATAGCCCACATGGTGTGGTGCAGCCAGTTGCTGCGCACGTTCCCCGGCAATCGCCCCCCAACCTTTCCCAAGCATCTTCCCAACCTCTCACAGGAGTCCTTCGACTGACATGTCCCTTTCGGGACCTTAAGATCGCCTGGTCCAAAGCGAATTTGCCTTCCCTTTCGTCCCATAGTGGTTCATGTTTAGTCCAGGTTCCCGACGTTAAACTGTTCATTTCAAGGTCCTTTGAGTTAGCTTTCCTAGGGTGATGTTGCAAGGGGTGTGACGTGCCATGGTCCAAGACCCCCTTGCTTGTTGGTAGGGAATATCAACCCGTGTGCACGGGTTTCAAGCATCGCAAGAATTCCCATGAAGCGAGCCACAACCGTAGCCCACAAGAGAAAGACAAGGTGTGTCTCAACATGGGTTAACATGGGTCAACCCCGAAAATGGTTGGTTCTCTTTGATTTCCTACAAGACCTCTTCCAAGAGGGCACCTTACAGAAATGGATTCCAAACCAGCGGTTTTCCTTTGAGCCTCCAATTAGGCCCTGAAAGCCCGTAGGCATATATACACATGCGTAACACATGTACATCTACACGTACATCCTGTTTATTTATGTGTTTATTTATTTGTTTATTTATTTATTTATTTATTTATTTATTTACGTATTTATGGTTCTTTTGTTGCAGCTATTTGTTCATGCATGTATACATGATGCCTATTGCCCATATCTGCCCAGGCTCTGAGATCTCAGAGCCTCAACCAAAACTCCCCAGGTGGGCCAAGTGCAACGCCTCAGCAGCAACAGCAACGGGGGCCAAGATCTGGGCCGAAGCCTCGGGCCGCGTGAGTTGGGGCGGACGGCTTGGACGGCTTAGGAGATGGCCGGACGGGTGAAAAGAGCTCAGCAAGAACAGGTTGCAAGGTTTTTTTTTCCCTCAGCTAGTGAAAATACGATATAATCAATATATATTTAAAGGGAGCAACCCACTGGAGGTTTGGGTGTCGCGGACCCGAGGTGAAGTCTCCTGACCATTGCACGTGGCCTCCACGTCGCAATGAAAAGCTCCACCACACGTGTGGGCCAAAACTCGGCATCCCCTTCTTTGGCCATAGGCATCCATAATACATATCATCCATAGTACATATCCATATATGCATACATATGTGTATATCGGTATACCATATACACACAGAATGCAATTTCGGACGCCGTCTTGCTTTGCCTTGCCAGCTAGCCTCCCACAACTTCAAAGCAACCAACCACTTGGAGGGGTGCCACTATGTTCGATATATATATATATATATATATTGTCCCCCTGGGCAAGTCAAAAACAGACCACAAAAAAGGGTGGCCGAGTTTTCCCCGCGAATTGTTGACAGTTTGGGAACCTTTAACGGGGCTCCAAAACGTCTTGTTTCCCTGCGAGTGAGTTTCGACAGCGGCATTGTCATTTGGTTGGTCCACCTGGCCCCTTTTAGTTCATGGCTCGAAATGGTTCCATCCAGTTGCATCGCGGGAAGCTAACAGGAACCCAACCCCATTTTCGTTAAGCCACCGAAACAGGGGGAACACCAAAGAGGGCTTTTTGAGTTGGTCTGATGCTCAGTTCTCAAGTTTTTTTTCGTCTCTGATGTCCCTTGAGGCCGCCATGTAGGCAATTCATTTTGTGCCACGACGTAGGCCACATGGGCTTAGGTCCTGAGGTGCGACATGGCCCTCCCAGGTCCTGAGACAGTTCCCCCCACAGTCGCATGGCCAAGGCGTGAAGAGCAACCTGCTGGCAGCTGCTCGGAATCGAGATGCGATGGCCCCTTTTGAAGGATTCGCGTAGAGCCCCTGCGTGTGGAACAGGTGGGCGTGTCCTAAAATGCGGGCCCCCTGAAAATTGTGGCTTCCCGTTCGCCAAAGCGGGATCCCCTGATAGCAATACACAGCTGGGTGTCCAGGTTTGCTCTCGAAAGTCGAGAGCATGACATCGGGGACGCTTGCATTCCCGGATCGGCCGCGGATTCCCGGATGCTGTGAAGAATGCGAGCAGGTACCGGTCTGCCTGTTTTGAGTTGGTACCCCTTTTTTGGGTGGGTTTTGAAGGAATACCAACAGGAAACATCACCATTTGCGGGGGGTCCCCCAAGAAAAGACACAACCAACAATGGACCGAGGCCATTTTGTGCTGCAACACGACCCTCTCAAAAGAGAAGGACGACGATGGAGTCATGAAGTGGACCCCCAAGGCCGGCTTGTTTTTTTCCCGGGCTTATTTAACTTGTGATTTTACGGCCGCCAATTTTTATGACCGGCACGTTGCGGGGGCATTGGGGGCAAATGTGGAAATGGGATGGATGACTCTCTTTCTTGAGGGCGTTGGCCCCGGCACAGGAACCCTCAAAAGAGGCAATGGATAGATGGCCCAGACTCGGGTCCATTGGGATGTTTGAGGGGTTTGAATTGGAGGACCCCATAGGACCATAGGAACACTTAACCAAGCCAACCCAAGACAGCTGAGGCTCAGCTGAGCCATCTTCCTCCGTTTGTGGGCATCTCACAGAAAATCGAGCGCAGTCAACCCGTGATCACCCTAATAGGTTTTCTTCAGAAACAGCCAGGACCTTCATGTGTTACATAAATTTGATTGAGCCGCCTGGGTATTCCGTAGCAGAAATTTGCGAATCCGGCTTTTTCAGGGGAACGGGCGCTTCTGTCTTCTCAGATAGCTTGCTGCGTGGAGTTCGAGCAAACGGGTGCACATTCGCAACTCGTAACAATTGGTTGTAGCAGGTGGGTGTGACGCATTGGCATGTTTTGTCGTTACAATTTTATGGAACAATGGAAGGCCCAGGGGGTAGAATGACAAGCCCTTCATAACGCCAAGTCGGCCAATCCGAAGATCAGCTTGATACTTCTCTCCATTCTGTAGTATCAATTGTCCTTGCTTGTTCGCTAGGTCCAATAGAAAGATCCAGTAAATCAATCCCTGCAAGTCTAGTAGGACGATCAATCGGCCCTTTGGGTTTTCAAGGGGCGGTTCCTTTACGGGGAATAAGCTCACTGGGAGAATTTGCTTTGGGTTGACCATTCCTTCTTTTGGGTTGCACCCAGACGTAGCTGCTGATCAAAGTGGAACTATGAGGTGCACTTGCGCTGGAGATGCTCTCAAAGAGGTGGATTCTCCTTAAAACCCCTTTGCAACCAATGACCAGAACCGTAGAAACTACAAGAAGCTTTTTTGGATTGACCAGGCTTGTTGAAGTTCATTTGCTCTCCTTCCACCGCCAGGGGAACTCTTCAGAAGCTCCCATCGTGGTTGCAGCGAGGAAGGTGGGTCTCTCGGAGACGATTGCAAGTGCCTTGGATCCAAATCCATCGAAATCGAATTCCGAATTCGGGTTTTGGAATTCATCGCCCTCAGACAAAAAGCTGGTTGGTGGCTTGACAAGAGTGGCTGGTTTGACGTATCCTCACTCGAGTTCTGGACTTTGAACTTTGGGCAGCATTCCTCGTTCCCTGCTGGGAAGCAGCAAACTTGCGACAAGGTGTCAAACACTTTTTATCCCCAGAGACTGCCACCGTTTGCTCAACTTGTTTTGTTTGCGCGGGCTCTCAGTAGGCCGGCAATGAGGAAGGCCCCAGAAGCATTCCTTAACTGCTGCATCTAACTGTTGAACCCAAAGCAAGATGGGATTTGTTGCTTTATTGTTCTAGGCCGCTCACCCAGTGAACTCCGTCGTGTTTTCGTTTCGAGAGCTGGCTCCAACAATTCGCCTGGGAGCTTTTCAGGTACGCACATGATTCAGGAGCTGAATAGCACATACCACCCTGCATGTTATACTTTGGAGCCTCCGGCTCACTCCGCCGACGTTGTCCTCTCCCTTTTCTCCTTCTTCCTCTCTCTCTCTTGTCTCCTCCCCCGGGTGTTCTGTCGTCCTCTCTCCCTCCCTCTGCTCCCCGTCCCCCCCATCCCCCAAGCCTCTCTCTTCTCTGTCTCTCTCTCTCTCTCTGTCTGTCTCTCGATCTCTCTCTCTGTGTCTCTCTCTCTCTCTCTGTCTCTCTCTGTTTCTCTGTCTCTTTCTGTCGCCCTGTCTCCTTCCTGTCCACGCCCCTCTACAGAAACAAGGGTACCCTCCTAGTCTCTCTCTCTCTCTCTCTCTCTCTCTCTTTCTCGCTCTTTCTCTCTGTCTCTCGCTCTCTCTCTCTCTCTCTCTCTCTCTCTGTCTTTCTGTGTCTCTTTCTGTGTCTCTCTCTCTGTCTCTCTCTCTCTGTCTCTCTCTCTGTCTCTCTCTCTCTCTCTCTGTCTGTCTCCATCTCTTTCTCCGACTCTGGCTCTGTCTCTCTCTCTCTCTCTTTCTCGCTCTCTGTGTCTCTCTCTCTCTCTCCCGATCTCTCCCGCTCTCTCTCTCTCTCTCTCTCTTTGTCTCTCTCTCTCTCTCGCTCTCTCCTCCTGTTTTGTCTCTGACTGCATTGCAGCGTCACGTCCCCCCTGAGTTGCCTCGATGTCCGGGCTGTTTGCTTACCTACTGGCTTTGCCCTTGGTTTCCCCTTCATGTCCTTTTCACGTTTCCCATGATGTCCTGGTCATGTCCCTCCCATTCCTTTCGACTCCCCCTTCCCTATCATTTTCTCGGTATGTCCGCTTCATTTTCCATGTATGTCCCGTTCTTTCGTTGCCAGTCATTTCCCAACATCCGTTGTTTCCCTTTCATTCCCCCTGCACTCCCCTTGTTTCTATTTCTGTCCCTTTCATGTCCCTTTCAGTTCCCTTTGTTTCCCTTTCATTTCCCCTTGCTTTCCTGTCATGTCGACTTCCTATTTCCTCCCCTCATTTCCTTGCACTTCCTTGCATTTCCCCTTTGCTCCCCAGTATTTCCCGCAAAAAAAAAAACAAAAAAAGGTTTTCCAGCGTTTTAGCAAAGAGGACATGAACAAAAGCACAGAGTTTTTCCAGATGTTCGGCAAAGGGAGGCAGGCAACCCAAACCAGCAAAGAGCCGGCAGGGGGATTCGAGCCCCTGTTTTGCGACACCGGCTCCCCGAAGACTACGTTTAGTGGAGCGTCATCAAATTACCGAGCAGTACGTGGGGCAGGTTAGGGGGGGGTCTCTCTTAGGTATCCGACACGCCTCCACAATGTCGGCGGACATGGGTTGCGCAAAAGTGGGCAATGGCGAGTTACTTGTCAACGCGAGTGGATGTATTCTGTTTTTCTAGACTCGGGCACCTTTACGGAAACTGATCGAGGCAGTTGTCCGGGACGGGGGGTGCCTGAATGTGTCCTTCGCAAGGTCCCGCGGAATGTTTTTGGAGTTCCTTTGCCTCATTCCCCAAGTTCCCTTTGGCATTATTTTGATTGTTTCTGGGGTCAAAGTCAGAAAATGCAGTTGTTTCCCTTTAGCCAACCATTTCGGGGTGACTTTGATCATGGTCAAAGAATGCGGCCAGCTCCTGGCCTCACATTTTGGGAAGGCCATGGTGGCAAGAAGCTCAGACTTGTTTTACCAAATCCGCGAAAGTGAGTTGTCTTGAGTTCATGGCTAGCAAAGATCGAGGTCCCAAAATGATTCCCTTTTGCTACCCCGGAACTTGCCCGTGCTGTCTACCATTCGGTCATCTTTCATGTGAAGATGGGCGCATGTCTCTCGGCTCAGGCGAATACCCCCGAGTGCTCGAAGTCCCTTTCTCTTCCTCGCGGAAGATGATGCGCCTCGAAGGGGAAGGTCTGAAGATCCCTGTGGGGTTTCTAAATGGACGTGGGTCAACTGAATGGTACCATTTTGGGGTAGGTGGCCACCCGATGTTAGTCAATTTTAGTGGGGATTGGGATGTACAATTTGGGTTTTGACGCATAGCCAAATCTTCTGGGCGGAAGACCACCCCCTGAGTATGTGGCGAGCCTCACTCTCCTTCCTGAGTGTGTGGCGAGCCTCACTCTCCGAGCTCCTGGACTTTGAACCTGTTGGGGGAGACCATTTTGGTGGTAATTTAAACCCATATGAATAAAACCCAGTCTATTAATAGAGGGGCGTCCGTGGGCTTAATGGGGAATCAGAGCACTTTTGGAGGGAACACCTCCATATTAATAAACAGGTTGATTAGCATGGGGTCAACATTAAAGAAAACGTTTGTTTTGGTTTGGGCCAATCGTGAGTCAAAGGTGCGGGCGGGGCGTACTGTCCTGGCACGACTTTGCCACATTCCGAGTCGTTTGGCACGAGGGAAGCAACCTATGGAAGTGACAAGATGCGTCCTACCCATGGCCTACTTTTCCAAACCAGGACCTAGCTAAGTGAGCCAAAGTTTTCCAGAGGGACGCCAAACGAGGATGGATGTGGTCATTTCATTTTGGTGCACCCCCCACCCCATTTGGCAGGGACCTTGGGACTACTCTGGGAACGGATTATAAGCAATCACTTTAAGCAATCCATTCAAGAGCGAATCCGGATCACTTTCGAAATTGCAGCCCCCCAAGAACAAAACAAAAAGAAACACACAACACGCCAGGTCCTACTTGAATCGTCGGTCAACATTTTGGGGGTTGTCAAACTTACACTTCCTTTTGGGAGCCTGCCGCGGGGAACTATGCCGAAGCTGAAAGGAGGACAGTTCAGCTTCCTTGTGGAAGTTCAGGGCCGCTGGAATTGTTGGAGAACAGCCCGGCAAGGTGTGTGGCGCACGAGCATTTAAAGGCTATCAAATCGTGTCAATGTATCTTCTTGCATGTTCTTTTGAGCACTCGCCTTACAACACGGCTCATCGCAAGCAAAGCAAGCTTGAGGAAAACACACGTACGACTTTTTCCTGGCGTTACTTGGGTGTGAGTGTGCGTGTGCGTGTGCGTGTGTGTGTGTGTGTGTGTGTGTCAGGTGTGTGGATGCGGTTTTGGTATGCGGTTTTGGTTTTGTTTGCATTTGCGTTTGTGCTGTGTGCTTGTGTTTGTGTTTGTGTGTGTGTATTCTTGGAGGGTAATGACCTCAAGAACGACCTATTTTCCCAGTTTTGACACATGATAGAGTTACGAGGGGCCTAGTACTTACTCATAACGTTCCCTTGCTCAATTACCAACTTTTTGTTTTTTTCCAGGAACCAGAACAACCCCATGCCCATTTCAGGTAGGTGGGCTTCACCGGGCTCCAGGATCAGCCGCGTTGATTGAGGGTGCCTACTGCCATCTTTTGACACCGCCTTCTGTGTCTTTTCTCTCTCAAGGGGAGGCAAAAACCCCAGAGGTAGCCGTATCTTCCGGCCAGTCTCCCTGGTCAGTTGTTCCTTTTTTCTGCCCTTCCGGGCAAATTAAATTTGACCAACCCCTTTTTCTCAAAGGAAAAACTGCAGCCAGCGGGCGAAACCGAAGCAATGCCCCTTGCTTTCGAGCGCTTCGACGAGCCATTCGCCTCGATTCGGATCCTCGGGTCTTCGGCTGAGGCTCACGGTGTCCAAGGTGAAGGGCTCCGAGCTGTGCCCGGGCGCCATGGCGCTGGAGTCAGGACGTGAAGCGGCGCTCGGTCCGTGGGATGACTCGGCCCAAGGGGACAAAAGGCACCTGGAGGCGAGGGATCCAAGCCCGGTGAAGGGCTGAAATAGGCCGAACAGCCTCATTTTGGTTGCTTCGGAAGGTGTGTTTCTTGGTCTACAGGGAAGCTCTTGTCTTGTCTTAGTTGTCCTGGGGACTGGAGAAAATGGAGGAACATGCAAGATCTGCAAGTTCGCTTGATTGTTGCACTCCAGGCGCAGACTTTTGAAGGTTTTTTTGGAGACCCACTTCTCCCCTACGAAAGGTGAACAGTTGCCCTTGGATGATTCCGACTATGACCAAGCCACCTTACTGAACACGGGTACTGCCTGAATCACAACCTCGGTGACTGGTGGCGCCAAGGTCGTCAACTGCATGCCTTGGGTCCCAGGAAGTCCCGGGCCACCCACCTGTTAGAACGCAGAAGGTGATGCACTCACGGTTCCTTCTGGTTTTAGGGCTGTTCCGTCCGGGCACCGTCGCCTGCGCGTTTTTGCCGGTTCTTTGTAGAAAATAGGACCATAGCCGTGCGAATGCGAGCCAGTTTGAGCTCGCGATGTGAGCGGTTTGAGTTGGTTCGAGGGGGTGGCCGCTGACGAAGCCACGTTGTTCGCCTTCAGTCCGAAGAGGCCTTAGGCCGTATGTGGGCCATCGAGGGGCACTAACCGTCTCGCTTACTTGGGCAGAGACCCCATAGTAGGTCTGAACACTCGTTGGCAGGCTTCCTGTTTCTTCTCTGTATTTCTTTTTGGGGGGTCCTTTTTGTTCTGGAACTTCAAATCCCCTGAAACCCTGCGGTTCACTCCCAAAACCCCCAAAATTTGCGGCTTACCCCCTTCCCCCCTTCCCCCCCTTTTTTCCGCCTCCCCAACAAAACAGCAGAAACGACGCCATGCGCAGGAACCAAGTACCTGACGGTCTGCAAAGGCGCCGGGCTCCCAGTATGTTCAGGCCATGTGTTGCTTGATTGGCAAAGGGGCGCGCCGTGCCTCTCGGCGCTTGGGGGAGGTTGCACGTGCTGAAAACAGGGAGTGTTTCAATATCGAAAGTTTGATTTTCGCTATGTTGGTATGTTTTTTGGTTTCCCGTCAAGCAAACCAGAATTGGAAGCCCACGAACGCTCATGTGGCGCAATTCTCAAAAACCGAGCACAAAAACACAACTGCCTGAGCCAAAAACAACTTTCCGACTTGCGGGGAATAGAATCTAAAGGTTATGTCAAACACAGTGCCCTCCCCCAATTAACTTGGAACCTGACAGGGGGGCTCCCTTGAACCGGCAAATTGTCTTCCAGGAGCCCTCTGTGAGGTTCCATGCGAATTGGTGGGAGTAAAACTTCTGCGTTTCCAGTGGCTCTCAAGCCCAACCGCCCACCTCCGAGGCGCCGAATTACATCATCGACCTCTGCGCTGAGCAGCTGAAGGAAGACGGCAGCAGCTCGGAGAACACTGCACGAGTATGGGCTCCCGAAATGGAAATCTCACTCCCTGCGTTCCTGAATTTGTGGGAGGACCAGGTTAGTGGCAAACAAAAAGCGAGTTGACTTGTGTTTAAACCACTGAAGTGAGACACCCCGTTCTGAAATGAATACATTGAAGCATTGGCACGGAACCCGCGAAAAACTGGGCAACCAGCACGGCCCCAAGTCACGGCTCTGAGGGTCCGAGGCTTCTCCGGGTCGCCCTTTAGCCGACCGTCATTTCGAGCGAGTCTTGGGGAGAATTTTGCGGACCTTTGGCCATCCTTTGCCTTTGGCGCTTCGGAGAACGAAGGATTTGCCCGGCAAGGGATGTGAAAACCGAGCCGATGAAGCCCAAGGATTTGAGCGAGCCAATCCGCGGGGCACCTGCCACGAATCAATGGGATGGAATTCCGTGGGTTGAGGCGTGGCCAAGTTGACGGAGGCCGACAAGAAGTCGATTTTGCAGATTGTGGATGGCCTCCCGGCGCCGAGCTTTTTGCGTGTTTTGTTTTTTCGTTCGGGGCCGGCGAGGTCCGCACGATATCCTGGGAGTAATTAGTTCAGATGTTCAACTCGCTTCCCGAGCTTGTGGACTTGAAAGTCTTTTTGGGAAGACCGTGTTAGTGGCAAAAAAAGGAGTTTGGACTTTTTTGGGCAGTCCTTTCAGGAAGTGAGTTGGTCAATTCACTGAAGTGAGAGGCCCCGAACTTCCAGCCACTAAGTGAAAGTCAGTACCAATCGCCTAGCACACTGACCGCCCAATTGTGGCCTGCTCCTTTCAGATGTTTTTTTGAATTTGTGCTGACCCATGCTGACTCTACCTATATAAGGGTTTGTGGTGCACGCTATACAGGAATGTTGTACACAAAAAAAACCTCAAACGATTCCAGGGCAAGGCTTGAGGTCCATCCATGTTAACCCCATGTGAATTCATCCCAGTTGATAGGGTGTTTCTGACTTTACCCAGTGGTATTTTTGTTTGGATGGTGCAGCTGCTAAACACTACCGGTGGAGACTGGACAACGCGGTGGGTGGGTGGGTGGGTGCAGCCGCTTGTCCCTGACTTTCGTGAGAAATCACTACTTTTGGAAGGGACTTCAGCCCTATGAACCAACCGGAGTTGATTTACATGGCTTGATTGCTATTGGGTTGGATCTTTAGGCTTTAACCTTTTTATGGAAATCAAGGTGTTTTCCACTAAACCCACAAAAAGTGAAACTTTTTGAGACAAGTCTACAGCAACAAAGATGGGGTCAACACCACCGCGCCAAAAAATAAATAAATCATTTGGACATCCCAGGCTACTCCGAGCGCGCCCTGCGAGTACTGGCCATCGCTGCGCGGCCCATGAAGAACCTGCCGCACCTCGGAGAAGTTGAGATTCCTCGCAGAAGGTTTGAATGACTCACTAGCAGCTAGTGAGACATTCAATCATTCTGCGAGAAGGGATATCCAGACACTCGAGCGAGTGACTAGCTGAGTTGGTGCAATCTCACTCCTTGAGTGTTTGGATTTGTTGTATACCTTTTTGGGGCTCGGACCATGTTGGTGGTAAACTAATGGACTCTTTTGGCCAAACTATTCCTGAGTGAGATTAGTGGGATGGTGCAACCGTGGGATTTCGGCCGTGTTTGTGTTGACGGTGGTTCTCCGCTCCCCCCCTTGGCGAGGTGTGTAGGCGTGTGTGTGTGTGTGTGTGTGTGTGTGTGTGTGTGTGTGTGTGCGCGCGTTCGTGTTTCTGGCAGGGTCAGTGTCCGGGCCTGACGGGATGGCTTCTCCCTTGCATTGTTTTTTTTTCAGCAATACATGGAGCTCAAAGGGGTTTACCCCCAAACAGGTTCCTTTAGACATGATGTTCTTTTGACTTCATGTGAATCTGCCAGGCTTGTAGGGGTGCCAGCAAATCTCAAGGTACGACGAGAACAACGAGGATGCTTCTTGGCAAGATGCTCTTTGGAGTCACCTTGGGCGGGTATTTCTGGAATATGGAATGGGGAACCTCTCCCCCCTCCAGGATCAGGTGGGGGCAACGGGCGGGTCTTCAACATTTGTCCCTCTGGAAGAGGGCAATTCAATCACAACACACTGGCTGATCACACGCGAGTATGCGATGGAAATGGAGGGACCCAGTCTTTCCCAATCCAAATGGGGGGGGGGGGATTCTGGTTTTCAAAACCACGGGAGCCCATTGCCCAAATGGAGCGATCCAGTTTGGCAACCGGGGGGAACGGTGAAAACGCGGCCGGGCAGAATGTGAAGGTCAACACTATGGCAAGCGACCGCCTTTTGCAATGGGATTCTGAGAATGGGAACTTTTGGGGGAAGATCGTTTTAGTGGGAAACCATCGCAACTTTGGACTGTGTTTGGCCAATCCACTCAAGTTAGGTCAACATTGTTACATTGCGATGCGAAGCAATTTGCCCGTCTCGAAAGCATCTCGCTGATGGATGGGATCCCGACATTTTTCCCAGTTGAGGGTGGGGATTTTTGAGGGGGGACATTGTAGGGGAGGGATTTGTCGAGGGTTCGATGGCAACGAGGGTGGGAGGGTACAGGAAATGCAGAATAAAGAAAGCCTCTTGATCTTCCTGAAAGGGCTAGGGGGACCCCAGAATCAATGAATCCACACAACACCCTCCCGTTGTGGGAGTTCAAGAGGAATTAGAGGTGCAATGGATCAAAGGGAAGCCCACCTTTTTGCTTGTTTTTTGCTTGTTTCAGAGTCAGTTTTGCTTTTTTGGCGAATTTCCCCAGTTTCTTGTATGGACCCCCGCTTCTCTCCTTGGGTTGCTTCTGTCGTGCCATTCGTTCCACGGCTAAACAACTTGCTGGTGCTGAGCAGGGAATGAGGGAATGACCCTTATAAACCATCCAACAGGTGGTTTCCTTTAAGGAGACCAACACCTGGTTCATTCCAACACATTCCAGACCTATCGCACAAGCAAGAAGGTCACCACGGACCAGAAGTTCGAGGCCTGCCGCAAGCAGTTGCGCCTCATCGGCCTGGTTGCCTCCATTGATCCGGAGCGCCCCTCGGATAGGGTGAGATGTTTTCGACTGCGGACCGGTAAAAAGGCGATCGGCGCGTGAAACACGGGGTTTACAGCACGGAAAGCATAGGGGAAATGCGGGAAACACGGGGTTTACCTTTTCAACATGCCACACCTCCAGGGGTCGATTCTCTGATTTTTCGCCACAAGATAAACCCCGCAACCGCAGCCAGAATTCTCGATATTTCCCGAACTGAAGCCAGTTGAAGATCACTGTTTGGACTAATCGTGGCAGGGTGCTTGCTGATTGCAGGGCTTAAGCCAAGAGGAAGCCAGCCACCCCGTTGTTGGACACAAGGTTTGAATTTTTAAGGTGCATTTGTGAGCAAGCCTTTGGATACGCATTTCAGACTTGTCCCAAACTCTTTTGCTGTAAATGTTGGGTCCACCCGACTAAATTAGAGGTTCCCACATGTTTTTTGTTTTTTTCTTCTGGGCCTTTGAGGGTGAGCGTGGAACCCTTTCAGGAGGTTTGCTTCATGGCCCGGTTGGCGTTGTTTTAGCAGTATTCAATTTGGGTTGGGTAAACGAGCGACTCCCAGTTGCTCAGTGGCAACCTGTCTACCTTGTTGTTTGCTGGGTTCCCTTGCAAAAACATGTCAACCCAGAAACGGGGCCCTTTTTCTACCCGAGTCACGGAGCAGGGGATTCTGGCCAAGAGGGCAAGGCCAACAGCACGTGAAATACCAGGAACAGAAAGTCTCCGGCGAACCTCTGCCTGGGTGGGGAGCGTTCCAAGTTGACCACGATGCCGACTTTGCAATGTTGATGCCGTCCGTTGTGCCTGGACCCCACGCACAGAGCCCTCAAGCACGTAGAAAGAAACCAGCTGGGGTCACTAACCCCCAACCCACCGCCAGGTTGTCCCAAATATGACCTTTCTGGAGGAAACAGGAGGAGAAGCGGAGGAGGAGGAGGAGGAGGAAGAAGGGCTTAAGGGAGAATCCCATGATTTCTTGTGTTCTATTGCCTTGCGTTACCTCAGTATGACGCGCATCAACGTTTAGGTCGAGTTTGGGTCTACCTCAAGTCAACTCCAAAATGTGAGTGCCTTTGCCCTCCTCCCTTCAAAAGGAAATGGTCCAAACAGGGACCCCCAAACGTCAGGTTCCGCGTTCTTTGGTTTTCCAAGGCACCCTGCCCCGGGGTCCAAAGTGCACCGCCTTTTGGTTTATCTTCCTGTTTGCACAATCATCGATTTGTGTTGCATCCATTTGCTCAAGAACTGGTGTTATTTTCCCTTGCTGATTTTAAAGGGAATGTAAATCACTACTGTTTGTTGTTTTCCCTCCAGGGGGCGGAAAGCAAGGGCAACTGGAGGCTTGACACCTGCGGGGCTTCGTTCGAATGCGAGGATCCAGAGGCATGAGGCCTCGTTTTCGATCCCAGGCGACGGGGTGCCGCAGTCCGTGTTGGCGGCCCGCGGCGCGGGCATCCGCGTGGTGATGATCACCGGGGACTACCTGTTGACGGCCATCGCCATCGCCAAGAACGCCGCTTCGGCCGGAAGCAATATTCATCGTGTGTGATTCGGCTTTTATTTGTTTGTATTTATTCATATATATATATATATATATATTTTTTTTTGGGGGGGGTTGGCTAGGGGAATTTGTCCGGGGGTTGTTTGGGGGCAGGGTTTGGAGCGCAGGGACATCAAGTGGTTTGGAGTTGGTCTTGCGGTGCCCAGCGGGCCCTTGCAAATCCGGAAGCGACCTCCATGCGGCTCTCGATTCTGGACATCCACTCCCACTCCCGAATTCGGCCCTCGATTCGGCTCAGTTCAATTCGGATGTCCTACCCACTCCCTGAGATTCTGGAAATTCTCTCTACCTTAGGGGAAGTCTAGCGGCATACAGAAAGTTTGGACTTGGGCCAGTTGCTTCAAAAAGTGAGATGGCTAGATTTGGTTTTGGGACTTAAACCTGGACCGCGAGGTAGGTCTGGACAAATGAGATTTAGGGGGAGTTGCTATTGTGGGTGGTTTGTCTTTAAGAGCCGCAGTTTGGTTGTTTTTCCTGGATGTGTCTTGGAGCCAAACCTGAGCCGCAAAAAGTAACCAAGTCGGTTGTTTCATGGATTTGCTTTTAGGAATTCAACATGTGATGTGAGCACTATGGGGGAAGCGAGGTATAATACATATATATATATATATATATCTTTAAGGCGGTTAATATGGGCCACGGCACGTGTTCCCCCAAGACTCTTCAAGAGGCCATGAGAA